TGAGACTCATTCCTGTAATCCTAGTTATTCAGGAGGCTGAGGTCTGAGGATCATGGTTCAAAGCCAGCCCAGGCAGGAAAGTCTATGAGACCACCAGAAAACCAGAATTGGTACTGTGCTCAAAGTGGTTGCGTACTAGCCTTGAATAAAAGAGCTCAGGGACAGCACTCAGGCCACAAGTTCAAGCCCCAGAACCAAAAGAAAAAAAAGCTAAGCAAGAGCCCAAGGCCTGAAGTTCAAGTCCAAGTACAAAAATAAACAAAAAAAATTACTAATACTCAAACATCAGTGATAGGTTAAAGGTACATGGAATGTTTATTATGTGCTAAATATTGAGCTAATTTTATTTTACATGTAGTGTCTCATTTGACCCTTAAAATAGCCACTTTGGGCTGGGAATGTGACAGTGAATGCTTGCCTAGCATGCATTAAGCCCTGGGTTTGATTCCTGAGTACCACTTAAGCAGAAAAAGCTGGAAGTGGTGCTGTGGCTCAAGTGGTAGAGCGTTAGCCTTGAGCACAAAGAGGTTCAGGGACAGTGCCAGGCCGAGTTCAAGTCCCAGGACTGGCAAAAAAAAAAAAAAAAAAAAAAGCCACTTTGCCTAAGACCCTTATGTTAAAAAATTCAGCAGGATGGGCTGGGAAGTTGGCTCAGTGGTAGAGTGCTTGCCTTGCATGCATGAAGCCCTGGGTTCGATTCCTCAGCACCACATAAGCAGAAAAAAAGCCAGAAGTGGTGCTGTGGCTCAAGTGGTAGAGCGCTAGCCTTGAGCTGAAGAGCTGAGGGACAGCGTCCAGGCCCAGAGTCCAGCTCCCATGACTGACAAAAAAAAAAAAAATTCAGCAGGACATGACAGGTATCAGACTTCAAAAGTCATCTTAAACACTAGATTATCCTGTCTCAAATATAAATGTTACCAGAAATTTAGAGCAACTAAGTTGATTTTGTGTCTAGCAAGGGAAGAAGTCAGTCAAGACTTGAACATAGGGCTGGGAATGTGGCTTAGTGGTAGAATGCTTGCCTAGCATGTATGAAGCACTGGGTTTGATTTCTCAGAACCACATACACAGATAAAGCCAGAAGTGTTGCTATGGCTCAAGTGGTAGAGTGCTAGCCTTGAGTACAAGAAGCTCAGGGACAGTGCCCAAGTCCTGAGTTTAAGCTCTAGGACTGGCAAAAAAATAAAAATAAAAGACCTGAATATAGTAGACATACTAGGAAAGTTTATGAGAAAGTATGGCAATGAAAATAGTAATGTGTCAGTGGGGCTCTGGTGGCTCATGCTTGTAATCCTAGCTATTCAGGAGACTGAGATATGAGGATCGTGATTCAAAGCCAATGCAGGCAGGAAAGTCCGTGAGACTCTTTGTTATGTTTTGTTTGGGTTGTGGAGAAGAGAACACCACAGAGTAGTTAGGCAGCAGAGAGAACTTTATTCCAAACTGCTGCTGGTCATGCACGATGAAGACCCCCCCTTGGCAGAAGGGCTGGGGCAACAGGCTAGGGCTTATCTAGGGAAGGGTCAGAGAGAAGGTGTGGCCAGGTGTAGAAAGCAAGGTGTGGCCACACTGGAAGTGGAAGTGACCTCAGAGCCTGGCACCCTCCCACAGTCCGGTGTGAGGCCTGATGGGCAGTCCAGGATGTAACCTCAGAGAAGAGGGAGGTGACTGCCAGTTACTTAGGTAACATAGGTACTGGGTAGAGACTTATGCAAGAGCGGGCGAGTGTTCAAGCCCCAGGATTGGCAAAAAAAAAAAAAGTTATGTGGCGTAGACAAGCCTTTGGAAGATAGCACTTCAGACTATCTCAGCCCTCTTGTGTTGTCTTCCTTATTACAGAATTTGGCCTTAAGTTAAAATGGGGAGGATTGAAGTCTTTAAAGATGGCTTTCTAGATGGAGGCTGTTTCTGTTTCTTTCTCTTTTTTTTTTTGTCCTGGGTTGGTATTCTTTTTTGTATTTTTTTTAAACTGTAAAAATACTGTACAAAGGGGTTACAGTTACATACATGAGCAAGTAATGAGTACATTTCCTATGGAGCATTGTTGCCTCCTCTTTTGTTTTACCCCATCCCTTCCCTCCCACCTCGACAATTACCTCCCCCCCAACCAAAGTTATAAAGTTTGTTTTCAACATACTGTCTTGTACATCTCATTGTTACAATGGGTCAACCTGTATCCCTACTTAAGCATTTTGTTTTTTCCCTTCCCCACCCTGAATTAGAGAAGTGTATATACAAAATGCAGGGCATGGGAATCAAATACAGTGAAAACAGGGGTTATACTGTGGGGGAGGAACATACAAAGAAACAAAAAAATCACATGGTACATTATAAATACGTTAGAAACAATAGCAAGAAAAAATATTTGTGTCCATATCTTGGGGTTCATTTCGCTTAACATCATCTTATATGGTCATATGTACATAGTTTTTGACCTTTTCTACTTGTCCGACACATATACTAGTTGTTGCAAATAAGGGAAACCATGGGACCTATGTTTCTTTGGGTCTGGCTTACTTCACTTAATATAATTTTTTCCGATTTTTTTCCGTTTCCTAACAAATGGGGAAATGTCATTCTTTCTGATGGAGGCTTAGAATTCCATTGTATGTATATGCCACATTTTCTTGATCCATTCATCTGCTGATGGGCATCTGGGTTGGTTCCATATCTTAGCTATAGTAAATAATGCTGCGATAAATATTGTTGTGTTGGTAGCCTTAATATGGCCTTGTTTGTGTTCGTTTGGGTAAATGCCCAAAAGTGGGATTTCTGGGTCATAGGGGAGCTCTATGTGGAGTCTTTTGAGGAACCTCCAGATTGCTTTCCAAAATGGTAGACCAACTTTACACTCCCACCAACCATGCAGTAGGGTTCTCTTCTGGCTACATCCCCTCCAGCATGTGTTGTTATTAGAGTTCTTGATTATAGCCATTCTAACTGGGGTGAGGTGGATGATGTTTCTTATAAAGTCCAATGAGTCCAAGTCAGAAAAAGACATACTTAATCTCTTAAGTTCCATGCTAACACACAACATAACTTGCCAGAAAGTTAAGGGTAACTAAATAAACTTGGTCTCTGTTTCTGGTAAGAGAAGAATTTAGGCAAAACATAAACACAGTAAAGGTGATAGGGAATTTTATTAGGAAAGAAAATATGGCAGAGAAAGATCATGTGGCATAGATATACCACAGGGAAAATGGTACTTTAGTGAATGTCTGCACTCTGGCGACATCTTCTTTGTTGCAGAGCTTGGCCTTTCTGCTCCTGTAAGCTTGTGATGCCAAAGATTTACTCTCTCACCCTTAAGACCTTGTTTTTTTGTCCTTTTTACTTTCTCATTCTTTTCTAAGGCCCTGCTCACATTTTGTTATCAGGTAGTTTATTCTGTCTTTTGCAGGTTGAATAGACCAAAATTCTCTGACTGCCTGCTTTTTCTTCTAACCCATTATCATGAAGATCATTTATTGTATGTCAGAAAAATCTGTGAAGTACTTCAAGAAAATCTCTTGCTTGGTTCTCTTTATATTTCCATAACAATTTGTTTTACAGAACTTGATGCATTTATTCTGTTTAAGCCCACTATTTACCATTATTTATGTGACTTTATTTATTTATTTATTTTTTGTCGGTCGTGGGGCTTGAACTCTGGGCCTGGGTGCTGTCCCTCAGCTCTTCAGCTCAAGGCGAGCGCTCTACCACTTGAGCTACAGCGCCACTTCCGGTTTTCTGGTGGTTTATTGTGAAAGACCCCAGACGCTCCTCCCGAAGCCCCTATTGAGCCCAGCAAAAGATTAAAAATTAAAGTTGGAGTTATTATATTGTACAATTGCTAACTGCTGGTTTTGCTTCTGTAAACTTGCTTGCGCTAACACTAACCCTTCCCCTCCCTGGAGATAAGTGCAGGCCGCTAACCAGGAAACGAAACCTCGAGCCTCTGAGTCACCGCCGGCAGACCCTAGCATGACCCTAGTACATGCCTTAAAACCAGGCATTCCGGTAAAATAGCCGACCACCACATTCCTTCCCGTAAAACTCAGCCTTAATGCTAGGGTGAGGCAGGATGTAGTAAATCACTTGTCAAAATCAGGGAACGAACAGTTTCGGTGCATAACGACCCGCACAGACTTGTCCGGGCAAGTACCGACACGTCAGCCTTCCCCCAACCCCACCTACCCCATCTGGCTAGCTTAACCTGACCAATCCCCACCCTGAACGTAATTTGAAATTAACCAATCATCCCCCTGTAACCACGCATCTCGCTTCTGTAACCTCGCTTCTGCTGTCCATAAAAAGAGGGTGCTTTCAAGCACTCGGCGCGCAAGTCTCCCGATAGACTTTGTCGCCCCGGGTACCCGTGTAACCGGTTCTCAGACACTCAACCCGAACCTTGTGGATCTCGAGGTTGAGTGCACCTGGGAGCCGAGGGCTTGCCCGAATAAACCTCTTGCTGTTTGCATCCGCACAAGTGGTCTCGTTGTTCCTTGGGGAAGGGTCTCTTCAGATTGAAGGACACCCCACGCCGCCGGGGGTCTTTCATCTGGGGGCTCGTCCGGGATAGAGACCCCCACCCAGGGACCACCGACCCATTTCCGGGAGGTAGGCTGGCCAGCATCTGTGTGTCGTCTGTGTGCTGTCTGTAAGTTGTCTGAAGTCTTGTGTAGCCAATTTCTGTGCGCTTGCGAATCTGGTGAGTTCGGCCGTTCTCGTCTGTATCAGGCGGACCCGTGGAGGAGCTGACGAGCTCATACTCCCGACCGCGGTCCCCAGGAGACGTCTTGGGGGCTTCTGCGAGCCTGAAAAAGTGGCTCATCAGGGTGGCCTGAAAAAGTGGCCCGTCAGGGAACCCGGTCCTCTAGGACGCGTGGTTCATCAGGGGAGACGAGAGATCCGGACTCTCAATAAAGTCTCCATCAGGTTTTGCTTTCAGTTTGTGAGCAAACACGCGCAGCGAAGCTAAGTGTTGTCTGTCTTGTGTCTGTGTTCGTTAAAGTCTTAAAATGGGACAAACTGTCGCGACCCCACTAAACCTTACTTTACAGAACTGGAAAGATGTGCAAACATCAGCTCACAATCTTTCAGTAGAAGTTAAAAAAAGAAAATGGATAACTTTTTGTTCATCAGAATGGCCCACTTTCAACTGTGGTTGGCCACCAGAAGGAACCTTTAACCTAACCATTGCCTTACAGGTTAAGGCCAAAGTCATGGATCCGGGACCACACGGACACCCAGACCAGGTCCCCTATATTGTCACTTGGGAGGCTCTTATTTCTGATCCTCCCCCGTGGATAAGACCCTTCCTACCCGCCCCGGCGCCCCAACTCCCTACCCCCTTAACCCTTCCATCTGCACCTCAACTCCCGTCCCCACTCCTTCCGTCCTTGACTCCCCAACCCCAACTCCCTCCTCCTCTTCTCCCCTCTCCAGCTCCCCAACCCCCCTCACATTCCTCACTTTACCCAGCCCTTGTTCCCCTAGAAAGTGAAAAACAGGTGCCTCCGGAAAAAGGCAGACCTGCCACCCCAAAGGTTCTGCCACCAGGGGAAGAAGTTCTCCTGGATTTGTTGACGGAAGAACCGCCTCCCTATCAGGGACATGCTCAGCAGCCTCAGGAAGCAGTGGCTGCCGCCCCTCCACCGCCTGCCGACCCTGCACCATCCCCGGTGGCCGGTCGACTCCGCGGACGCCGAGAGCAGGTCCCGGACTCTACCTCCACCTCTCAGGTGTTTCCCTTGCGTGCAGGGACGAACGGCCAGCTGCAATATTGGCCCTTTTCGGCCTCAGACTTGTATAATTGGAAGACTAACAACCCTCCCTTTAGTAAAGACCCCTCAAAACTAACCTCTTTAATTGAATCTATTTTAGTGACTCATCAACCAACTTGGGACGATTGCCAGCAACTATTGCAGGTGCTGTTGACTACCGAGGAAAAACAGCGTGTTTTCCTCGAAGCGAGAAAGAACGTCCCTGGGGACCACGGGCGTCCCACTCAACTGCCTAATGAGATAGATGCTGCTTTTCCCTTGGAACGGCCCAATTGGGACTTCAATACGGATGCAGGTAGGAACCACCTACGCCTTTACCGCCAGTTGCTAATAGTGGGTCTCCAAGGGGCCGCTCGGCGGCCCACCAATTTGGCGCAGGTAAAGCAAGTAGTTCAGAAAGTAGAGGAGTCGCCTTCGGCTTTTCTTGAGCGTCTTAAGGAGGCATATCGCATTTACACTCCTTACGACCCTGAGGATCCAGGGCAGGCTACGAATGTTGCTATGTCTTTTATTTGGCAATCGGCTCCTGATATCAGAAAGAAGCTAGAGAGACAGGAGGATCTTCAGACATTGTCCCTCCAGGACTTGCTTAAGGAAGCCGAACGCATTTATAATAAGAGAGAGACTCCAGAAGAAAGAGAGGAAAGGCTGAGGAAGGAAGCTGAAGAGAGAGAAAGTGTACGTGATCGTAAAAGAACAAAGGAGATGAGTAAGCTATTGGCCACCATAGTATCAGGGCAGCGACAGGAGCAGGAAAAGCAGAAGGGAGACAGATCGGGCCACCCATTGGAAAAAGACCAGTGTGCATACTGTAAGGAAAAAGGACACTGGATGAGAGACTGCCCAAAGAGACCCAGGGGACATCGGAGACCAAGACCCCAGACATCCTTGCTAACCTTAGACGATTAGGGGGGTCCAGGCCAGGAGCCCCCCCCTGAGCCTAGGATAACTCTGGAAGTTGGGGGGCAACCCGTCACCTTCCTGGTGGATACGGGGGCCCAACACTCGGTATTGACCACGACCCCCGGACCCCTGAGTGACCGATCAGCCTGGGTGCAAGGAGCCACTGGAGGGAAGCGGTATCGGTGGACCACCGATCGAAGAGTGCAACTGGCCACCGGTAAGGTAACACATTCCTTCTTGCATGTTCCCGACTGCCCTTACCCTCTACTGGGAAGAGACTTGTTAACCAAATTAAAGGCACAAATTCATTTTGAGGAGACAGGGGCACGCATTACTGGGCCCAAGGGACAGCCATTACATGTACTGACCCTCGGAATAGAGGACGAGTACAGGTTGTATGAACAAAGACAGGACAAAGAGGACGCCCATATACGGCCTTGGGTGCGAAAGTTCCCGCAAGCGTGGGCTGAGACGGGAGGCATAGGCTTAGCCGTCCACCAGGCTCCTTTAGTTATCCAACTAAAGGCCGCTGCCTCCCCTGTGTCTATAAAACAATACCCGCTGTCCCAAGAGGCCCGTCGGGGAATTCGTCCTCACATAAAGAGACTGTTAGACCAAGGAATACTAACCCCCTGCCAGTCTCCCTGGAATACTCCGCTCCTCCCGGTCAAAAAGCCGGGAACTCAAGATTATAGACCAGTACAGGACTTGAGAGAAGTTAATAAGCGGGTTGAGGACATTCACCCCACGGTCCCTAATCCATACAACCTACTGAGCAGTTTGCCCCCCACTCATATCTGGTATACTGTCTTGGACTTAAAGGACGCGTTTTTCTGCTTAAGAATCCATCCCAGTAGCCAGCCTATTTTTGCCTTTGAATGGAAGGATCCAGAGCTGGGAGTGTCGGGGCAATTGACTTGGACTAGACTGCCCCAGGGGTTTAAGAACAGCCCCACACTATTTGATGAGGCGTTACATCGGGACCTAGCCGACTTCAGAATTCAACATCCCACGTTAATATTGCTCCAGTACGTAGATGATCTCCTGCTGGCAGCCCAGACACAGGAGGACTGCAACTCAGGGACTGAAGATCTCCTGCAGACCCTGGGTGCCATTGGCTACAGGGCCTCCGCCAAAAAGGCGCAAATTTGTCAGAAGCAAGTAACGTATCTAGGATATCAGATCAAAGACGGGCAGAGGTGGCTGACAGAGTCTCGCAAACGGGCAATTATGGATATTGCCCCACCCCAGAGTCCAAGACAGTTGCGAGAGTTTCTGGGAACAGCTGGATTCTGCCGACTGTGGATTCCCAGCTTCGCGGAGATAGCCGCCCCTCTGTACCCGTTAACAAAACCAGGGACGCTATTTGTCTGGGAAGAGATCCAACAAAAAGCCTTCCAAAACATTAAGGAGGCGCTCTTACACTCCCCGGCTTTGGGGTTGCCAGATCTAACCAAACCTTTTGAGCTGTTTGTAGATGAAAAGCAAGGATATGCAAAAGGAGTCCTGACCCAGAAGCTGGGGCCTTGGAGACGTCCTGTGGCCTATCTCTCCAAAAAGCTGGATCCGGTTGCTTCTGGATGGCCCCCGTGCCTGCGGATGGTTGCGGCGATTGCAGTCCTGGTAAAAGACTCGGGTAAGCTTACCCTAGGCCAGCCACTTGTCATCCTGGCCCCACATGCCGTAGAGGCCCTGGTCAAACAACCACCAGACCGATGGCTCTCTAACGCCCGCATGACCCACTACCAAGCCATGCTCCTAGATAAAGACAGAATACAGTTCGGGCCTGTAGTAACTCTGAACCCCGCTACCCTGCTGCCACAACCGGGGGAGGCGGAGCCCCATGACTGCTTGCAGATCCTGGCCGAAGTACATGGAACTCGACCGGACTTGACCGACCAGCCCCTCCGGGATGCTGATTTCACTTGGTATACAGATGGGAGCAGCTTCTTGGACCATGGTGAGAGGAAGGCCGGAGCTGCTGTCACCACCGAGACTGAGGTAGTTTGGGCGGAGGGACTTCCGCCTGGGACGTCAGCACAGCGTGCCGAGCTGATCGCCCTGACCCATGCACTCAAAATGGCAAAAGGCAAGAGACTTAACGTCTACACCGATAGTCGCTACGCTTTTGCTACGGCCCATGTGCATGGAGAAATCTATCGCAGGCGGGGCTTATTGACCTCAGAGGGCAAGGAAATTAAAAATAAGCCGGAAATTCTGGCCCTATTGGAGGCCTTGTTCTTGCCCCAAAAACTGAGCATTATACACTGTCCGGGACACCAAAAAGGACAGACCTCGGAAGCGAGAGGCAATCGACTGGCTGATAGGGCGGCCCGGGAGGCAGCGCTAGCCGAAACTCCAACCACCCCGGTCCTCCTCCCCATGACAACCAAGCCGCAAACAAAAAGACCCAGTCCGCTCCCCTACAGTCCAGAGGACATGGACGATCTAAAGAAAATGGGGGCCACCTTTGACCCTGAGAGAGGGGCTTGGACTAACGATGGGAAGACTGTTTGGCCAAGAAAGTGGACTCGTCAAATGATAGACCGCCTCCACAAACTAACCCATCTTAGCAACCGGAAAATGAAGACCCTCCTTGAGCGTGAGGAAGGGCTAATGCATCTTCTGGGAAAAGAGGACAGCCTACAAGCAGTGACAGATCAATGCACAATATGTGCCCGTGTCAACGCTGGGAAGACCAAAATAGGGCCAGGAGTGCGGGTACGAGGACAGCGACCTGGGACTCACTGGGAGATCGACTTCACGGAGATTAAGCCTGGACAGTATGGTTACAGATATCTCCTAGTATTTGTGGACACCTTCTCAGGCTGGGTAGAGGCTTTCCCTACCAAACATGAAACCTCCAGAGTGGTAACAAAAAAGCTGATGGAAGAAATTTTTCCCCGATATGGTATGCCACAGGTATTAGGGACTGATAATGGGCCTGCGTTCGTCTCCCAGGTAAGTCAGTTGGTGGCCAAACTGTTGGGGATTGATTGGAAATTGCACTGTGCTTACAGACCCCAGAGCTCAGGGCAGGTAGAAAGAATGAATAGAACGATTAAGGAGACTTTAACCAAATTAACACTTGCAACTGGCTCAAAGGACTGGGTGTTCCTCCTGCCCCTTGCCCTCTACCGCGCTCGCAATACCCCTGGCCCCCATGGCCTTACCCCTTTTGAAATCTTGTACGGAGCTCCCCCGCCGGCCGTCAATTTTCTTGACCCTCATATATCTGACTATGCTAATAGCCCTTCTTTACAAGCTCACTTGCAGGCACTTCAGATTGTCCAGCGTGAAGTCTGGAAGCCTCTTGCGGCAGTATACCGGGACCAACAAAACGACCCTGTCGTGCCTCATCGTTTCCAAATAGGAGATTCTGTGTGGGTCCGCCGCCATCAGACCAAAAACTTGGAACCACGGTGGAAAGGACCATACATCGTTCTCCTCACCACTCCTACAGCCGTGAAAGTGGACGGAATCGCCGCCTGGATCCACGCGTCCCACGTCAAGGCCGCCCGGACCCCGGAAGAGACCTCAACAGACCCGGACTGGAAAGTTCAGCGCACTCAAAATCCTTTAAAGATAAGACTTACGCAAATATGATTCCCTTTGCTTACTTGCTATTCCTATCCCTATTGAGTTTTGCTTCTCCCAATCCCCACCAGCCCGTGCGACAGACCTGGCAGATTTTGTCTGGCACAGCAGATGTAGTCTGGCAGATCAGCTCCGACCGCCATCCGTGGGGAGCTTGGTGGCCAGATCTAACCCCAGATGTTTGCCAATTAGTAGCCGGATCGCCCCGCCCCTGGGACCTGCCCGGTTTCACCTTTGATAAGCTCCCGGTAAAAGACTGCTCGGGCATACCCAATATGGGGGGCTTTAATGCAGGATGCTGTTCCCCGGACAAAAGGACGAGTTTAGCCAAGGTTGATTTTTATGTTTGCCCTCGAGAAGGTAGAGCAGCATCTAACCAGTGTGGACAGGAGAGTGACTACTTTTGTGCCTCTTGGGGTTGTGAGACCACGGGTGACGCATATTGGAACCCAAGTTCAACTTGGGACCTGATTAATGTAAAAAAAAGGACGGCCCTGGGGTACTTCATGCTACTTCAAAAGTACGTGCCTGCCTTTAAAAATATCCTTTACAGACAGAGGAAGAGCTTTACTTCCTGCCCTATGGATGGCAGGCAGACAGTGGGGAATTAGATGGCATACAATTGGATCTGGACCCTATGGAGTGACATTCCAAATCAGACTACGCAGGCAAACAATAACACCCGTCCTGCCAATCGGGCCCAACCCAGTTTTATCAAAACCCAGAGTCCTCACTGCTAGACATCCTCCACAAACCCCCTTGCTCAGTGCCCCCGTTCCACCCCCTTCTGCGATCAGTTCCCCCTACCTATCCGCCTCAATGCCGGTCCTGGCCGCATCAGAGGCAGGGGACAGGCTCATTGACCTTGTAAAGGGAGCATATACTGCTTTAAATTATTCTGATCCCAGTCGCACCGAGAGCTGTTGGCTATGCCTGGTCTCCAATCCTCCATACTATGAAGGCATTGCTGTAAAAGCCAATTTTTCCATCCACTCCAACCCCCCTTCCATCTGCAACTCACTGCCTTCCCACCAGCTGACACTCCCAGAAGTATCTGAGAGCGGGACGTGTTTAGGTAATATCCCCCCTTCCCATCAAAGACTGTGCAATAACAACCAGGCTGTATCCCCTGGATCCCATTACTTGGTTCCCCAAACTGGGCTCTATTGGGCTTGCAATACAGGCCTAACCCCCTGTGTGTCGGCAGCTATTTTTAATCAAAGTAAGGATTATTGTGTATTAGTACAGATTTGGCCTCGCATCACTTACCATCCTGACAGCGTTGTCCTCCAATACTTTGACCGACCAACTCATAGAGGCAAAAGAGAGCTCGTGTCTATTACATTGGCTGTCCTTCTAGGTATAGGAGGGATATCGGCTGGGATTGCCACAGGAACCACCGCCCTGACAAGAGTGGATTACTATTCAGACCTCCAGCAAGCCATGAATAACGACTTAAAGACTTTGGCAAACACCGTCCAAACACTAACGGACTCAGTAAACTCCTTAGCTGAAGTAGTCCTTCAAAATCGAAGAGGATTGGACCTACTGTTCTTAAAGGAAGGGGGCTTATGTGTAGCTTTAAGGGAAGAATGTTGTTTTTATGTCAATAAGACAGGAGTAATAATCAAGTCCCTAGATAAACTTAAGGAAAGACTGAACAATAGACAGCGAGAATTTGAGTCTCAACAAACTTGGTATGAAGGGTTGTGGAATAAGTCTCCCTGGTTTACTACCCTGATATCCTCATTAATGGGACCATTAATACTCCTTATGTTAATCCTTACTGTGGGCCCCTGCATCATCAATCGCCTAATACAATTTATAAAGGACCGCCTATCGGTCGTACAGGCCCTAGTATTAACCCAACAATACCACCAACTTAAATTGACGGAGGAATCTCCAGTTGAATGAAGGATTTCATTCATACAAAAAGAAAATGGGGGAATGAAAGACCCCAGACGCTCCTCCCGAAGCCCCTATTGAGCCCAGCAAAAGATTAAAAATTAAAGTTGGAGTTATTATATTGTACAATTGCTAACTGCTGGTTTTGCTTCTGTAAACTTGCTTGCGCTAACACTAACCCTTCCCCTCCCTGGAGATAAGTGCAGGCCGCTAACCAGGAAACGAAACCTCGAGCCTCTGAGTCACCGCCGGCAGACCCTAGCATGACCCTAGTACATGCCTTAAAACCAGGCATTCCGGTAAAATAGCCGACCACCACATTCCTTCCCGTAAAACTCAGCCTTAATGCTAGGGTGAGGCAGGATGTAGTAAATCACTTGTCAAAATCAGGGAACGAACAGTTTCGGTGCATAACGACCCGCACAGACTTGTCCGGGCAAGTACCGACACGTCAGCCTTCCCCCAACCCCACCTACCCCATCTGGCTAGCTTAACCTGACCAATCCCCACCCTGAACGTAATTTGAAATTAACCAATCATCCCCCTGTAACCACGCATCTCGCTTCTGTAACCTCGCTTCTGCTGTCCATAAAAAGAGGGTGCTTTCAAGCACTCGGCGCGCAAGTCTCCCGATAGACTTTGTCGCCCCGGGTACCCGTGTAACCGGTTCTCAGACACTCAACCCGAACCTTGTGGATCTCGAGGTTGAGTGCACCTGGGAGCCGAGGGCTTGCCCGAATAAACCTCTTGCTGTTTGCATCCGCACAAGTGGTCTCGTTGTTCCTTGGGGAAGGGTCTCTTCAGATTGAAGGACACCCCACGCCGCCGGGGGTCTTTCAATTGGAGATAGGAGTCTCACGGTCTTTCTTGCCCGGGCTGGCTTTGAACCGCGATCCTCAGATCTCAGCCTCCTGAGTAGCTAGGATTACAGGCGTGAGCCACCAGCACCCGGCTTTTGTTTTGTTTTTGTCCAAGGCTGCCACTTGAGCTGCAGTTTCACTTCTGGATTTTTGCTGATTAAGTGGAGATAAGAATCTCAAAGACTTTCTGGCCAGAGGTGGCTTTGCACTGCAACTTTCAGATCTCAGCCTCAGGGATTGTAGGTATGAGCCACCAGCGTCTGATCCACTTTTTATATTTTTAAAGCTCCTAGGGTGGTACATTTTATGGAGCAGTCCATTTTAACTTGGCTCCAGGGGATTGAGGATTAACTCCCAACCTCATTAAGACTTTCTTTCCAAGAATTGTATACAAGGGATTAGCTCAAGCTCTCGCTTTCCAGTTCCTGGCATGCACTTTATGGTTTCTTGCTTTCTTCCCTCTGCCTCTCTAGTCCTCTCCTCCCAGCTAGGATGGGAGCCCCGCGGTCCCGAGGTTTCAGGGTCCCCTGCTCCTGTTTTCATAAACAGCTCTTCAAGGAACAAGTGGACATGCCCAGGTGGGCGGGGATGCTCTGGGCCTCAGCGTGCTGTGCCCGCAGGAGGTCGCCATCTTGAATTCTGGCACAGGCGCCGCTGCCCTTACTCCAGAGGGCGTCTTCTTATGGGCGTGGCCAGTGACGGCGGCTCGGAGGACGCGCGGGGCCATGGCGGCGGCGGCGGCGGACGAGGATCTGTGCTGGGAGATCGGAGAAGAGGAGGCGGAGGAGGAGGACGAAGAGGAGGAGGAGGAAGAGGACGACGACGACGACGTAGAGGAGGAGGTAGCATCGCGTGGAGCCCGCGCAGGGGTCGCGGCGGGGTGGTGCGTGCGGGGGGCGGAGGGAGTGGAGCATGGGCCTGCACGGCTGTGGCCCGCGCGCGGGGCCGTCCGCGCTCAGTCTCCGGGGCCCGCCGCGGTGAGGATGGAGGCGTCGGGGGAGGAGGCGTGGGTCGCACCGCCGGCTTCCTGCGGCTGAACCTGGACGCGGTTTCCCCGAGTGGGGCTGGGGCTGGGCGGGTAACGCAGCGGGTTTTGGCTTTTCCCGCTCGTGTCTTCGGTGCTGGCAGCGCAGGCGGCAGGTTAATCCTCCTTTCTTCCACCAGGAGCAGTATGTGTTGGTGGAATTAACAGGAATTATTGATTCAGACTTTCTCTCAAAATGCGAAAAGAAATGCAAGATTTTGGTGAGTCTTCTAGAACTGGGGAGTTGGTGGGGATTTTTTTTTAAGTTAGAACATGAATGGTGACATGCTTGTCTGGGAGCACATCCACTTTACAAAGCAGTGAACGTGTTATTAGCATACTTTAGTCCTGAGGGTTCCACACATGAATTCAGGGAACCAACCACTTTGCCTCTATAGCTCTACCCTGTCCCACGCCCCCTTCCTAAAGTGAATAACCGCTGTCATTCATTTTTCCATTCGTTTCATTGTGTATGAATTGCACCACCATGGGTACACTCTAGCTCTTGCTGAGAACAGTTTTCTCTACTGAAAAGCAGTGACTTCTTTAAGGATCGCCGAAGCACGGGGTGGGGGGAGAGGGGGAGATTAAGGAAGTAGAAAAATGTCTACTTCTGAGTATGTGTGGCTAGAGAGAAAGTTTGAAGGCAGGGCTGGGAAGGTGGCTCAGTGGTAGAGCTCTTGCCTTGCATGCATGAGGCCCTGGGTTCAACTCCCCAGCACCACATACGTAAAAAGAAAAAAAGCCGGAAGTGGCGCTGTGGCTCTAGTGGTAGAGCGCTAGCCTTGAGCTGAAGAGCTGAGGGACAGCACTCAGGCCCAGAGTTCAGGCCCCACGACCGGACCCAAAAAATAAAATAAAAAAAAAAGAAAGTTGAAGGCAATGGAGGTAATATTTTGGTATAGAGCTATCAGACAAGTTTTAGGGGGGAAAAAACAGGCTGGGCTGGGAAGGTGGCTCAGTGGTAGAGCGCTTGCCTTGCATGCCTGAGGCCCTGGGTTCCATTCCTCAGCACCACATAAGCAAAAAAAAAAAAAAAAGCCGGAAATGGCGCTGTGGCTCAAGTGGTAGAGCACTAGCCTTGAGCTGAAGAGCTGAGGGACAGCGCCCAGGCCGAGTTCAGGCCCCACGACCGGACCCCTCCCCCCCCCCAAAAAAAAAAAAACAGGCCCCAGGAGTCCCAACAGAAGAAGGTTACCTTTCCCCTAAATGCAAGCAATTGATTAGTGGCTCAGGACAGAGAATTAATTTCAGAACTTCTTGGGAAGAGCAGGTAAAGGGGTTCAGAGAGACTTTAACGTCCATTTTCTTTTTTTTGTTTTTGTTTTTTGGGTCCTGTCGTTGGACCCATTGCAACAATTAGATGTACAAGTCGTTCTGTCGAAAAAACGAACTTTAGGGGCTGGGAAGGTGGCTCAGTGGTAGAGTGCTTGCCTTGCATGCATGAGGTCCTGGGTTCGATTCCTCAGCACCATATAAGCAAAAAAAAAAAAAAAAAGAAAAAAAACGAACTTTGCAACTTTGGTGGGGGGGGCGAGGGGGAGGGGAAACAAAGGAGGAGGCTACAATGCTTGATAAGAAATGTACTCATTATCTTGCCCATGTAATTGTAACCACTCTGTACGGTATTTTCACAATAAAAAAAAATAGAAAACAAATAAAAAAGAGGGGCTGGGAAGGAAGCTCAGTGGTAGAGTGCTTGCCTTGCATGAGGCCCTGGATTCGATTCCTCAGCACCATATAAGCAGAAAAAGCCAGAAGTGGCTCAAGTGGTAGAGTGCTAGCCTGGAGCTGAAGAGCTGAGGGACAGCACCCAGGCCCTGAGTTCAGGCCACTGAACCAGCAAAAAATAAATAAATAAAAATAAAAAAGAAAAGGGAAGGGGCTGGGAAGGTGGGTCAGTGGTAGAGCGCTTGCCTTGCATGCCTGAGGCCCTGGGTTCGATTCCTCAGCACCACATAAGCAAAAAGAAAAAGCTGGAAGTGGCGCTGTGGCTCAAGTGGTAGAGTGCTAGCCTTGAGCTGAAGAGCTGAGGGACAGCGCCCAGGCTGAGTTCAGGCCCCATGACCGGACCCCCCCCCAAAAAAAAAAAAAAGAAAAAAAGAAAAGGGAAATAGCCAGGTAGCTGTGGCTGTGCCTGTAATCCTAGCTACGCCAGGAGGCTGAGATGTGAGGAACAAGGTTTGAAGCCACACCTTGATCATGAAATCCTGTGAGGCTCTCTTCTCCCAATTAACTATTAAAAGAGTTCAAGCCCCCAGGCCAGCACAAAAGGAAAAAAAGAAGTAAACAAAGGAGGGCATCTATGTGACTGAATAAGGGACCTTGGTCTGGTCTGTAACTTCATTTTCTCACTTCAGGCTCTACAGAGTACTAGAGAACTTGTTACCTCTGGTCTCCACCTGGAGGAGCTTCTAGGAGTTGACTGCTCCTGCTCAAGTGGGCAAACTCAGTTCCCATTGTGGGAAGTTAACCACCCTCACCTCACTTGATTGGTATCTGTCTTTTGAGGCTGGCTATTGCTTAGTGACAGTGGTGTGTGTGTGTGTGTGTGTGTGTGTGTGTGTGTGTGTGTGTGTGTGTGTGTGTGTGTGTGTGTGTGTGTGTGTGTGTGTGTGTGTGTGTGTGTGTGTGGCTATTGCTTAGTGACAGTGGTGTGTGTGTGTGTGTGTGTGTGTGTGTGTGGTCTTTTGAGGCTGGCTATTGCTTAGTGACAATGATGTGTGTGTGTGTGTGTGTGTGACTAGGGATTGGATTCAAGACCTTGAGCCAGCACTTTGTTCCTTGAGCCATGCCCCTAGCCCTATAATGATTTTGTGGGAGTGCACGTGCACATACAATCATGTGGGTCCTGGAGCTTGAACTCAGGGCCTAAGTCCTAGCCTTGACCTTTTTTTTCCTGGAGATTAGCATTCTACCACTTGAGCCATGATTCCATGTCTGTCTTATTTTGGGTATTTAATCAGCGATGTGTATTGTGGACTTTTCCTGCCAAGGCTGGCTTCAAACCATGGTTCTCAGATCTTAGCCTCTGAGTAGCTAGGATTATAGGTAGGAGCCACTGGTGCCCAGGCTATGATTTTGTTTTGTTTGTTTAATCTAATGACCCTTTATTCCGTGGTAGGGAATTGACACTGAGAGGCCCATTCTGCAAGTGGACAGCTATGTCTTTGCTGGGGAATATGAAGGTAGGTAGATAAAACTCCCTTTTTAGGGTAGGTGGGTGGAGGGTGGTCCTGGGGCTCAAACTCAGGGCCTGGGTGCTGTTCCTGAGCTATTTTGCTTGAGCCACTTGAGCCACATCTCCACTTCTGGATTTTTGGTGGTTAATTGGAGATCAGTGTCTCACAGAGTTTTCTGCGTGTGCTGGCTTTGAACTGTGATCCTCAAATCTCAACCTCCTGGGTAGATAGGATTGCAGGATTACAAAACTGGACCCACTGGTAAGAAAAACTTTTTTGTGTAATGGGGCTTGAACTCAGCGCCTGGGTACTGTCCCTGAGCTTTTGTGCTTAAGGCTACTGTTCTACCACTTTGAGTCCACTTCCAGTTTTCTGGTGGTTAATTGGATATAAAAGCCTCACCAGGGGCTGGGAATGTGGCTTAGTGGTAGAGTGCTTGCCTAGCACTCTACCTGGGTTCAATTCTTCAGTACCACATAAACAGAAAAAGCCAGAAGTGGCTCTGTGGCTCAAGTGGTGGAATGCTAGCCTTGAGCAAACAGCTCAGGAGCAGTGCCCAGGCCCTGAGTTCAGGCCCTTGGACTGGGGGAAAAAAAAAAAGCCTCACCAATTTTCCTGTCAGGGTGGCTTCAAATTGTGATCCTCAGACAGCTTTCTGAGTAGCTGGGATTACAGGTGTGAGCCACTAGTGCCTGGCTCATTTTATATTTTTTAAATTTTACTTATTTTTTTAATTTGTCCTTCAGAGAAAGTAGCTGTTATTTTTCAACTATTACAAATTTTTCTATAGATACTCTTGGGACCTGTGTTATATTTGAAGAAAATGTTGAACATGGTAAGTAATTTCTATGTTAGCTCAACCTTTATTTTTACTATGAATTACTTCATATATATATATATATATATATATATTTTTTTTTTTTTTTTTTTTCTTTTTTGGTCAGTTGTGGGGCTTGAACTTGGCAGCACAAAGCTAGCACTATACCACTTGAGCCAGAGCACCATTTCCAGTTTTCTGGTTATTTATTGGAGATAAGAGTCTCACAGACTTTTCTGCCTGAGCTGGCTTTGAACCATGATCCTCAGATCTCAGCCTCCTGAGTAGCTAGGATTACAGGCATGAGCCACTGACGCCTGGCTTTTCTTTCTTTTTTTTTTTCTTTTAGACAAGATCTTAAAAAATGTGGCCAAGGTTGTCTGTAAACTTACAGCCCTCCTTCTGAGTCCTCCATTATTATTTAGAACTTATATGAAATTATTTTATAGTTGAAGAAACTAAAGTACTAGGAAATAAATAATATTCCTATGGTCCTACAAGAAATGGTAGAACTAGTTTTTGAACCTAGGCGATACAGCTTTAGAACCACTTTTTTTTTTGGATTGTGTGTGTGTGTGTGTGTGTGACCTTGGGCTTGGTAGGCAAGTATTCTACTACATATACCCTTACATACACTCCTATCCAAGAAAGGGATTGAAAAGTATGTGTTTGAGACATGGTTGTATTATGGAATGTAGCCTAGCCTCAAGCTCATAAGTCCTTCAGTGTGAGCCTCCTGAGTGTTGAAATTAGTTTGCACTATCACCTCTGATTTATGTCTTTATTATATTTTTTACTTCACAAAAATGTCATTATAGGTTCTGTTTTATTATCTCCTTGCATATATTTTAAATTTAAATTTACCTTATGAAATATATTGATGGGCTGGAGGTAAGTTCAGTGTGAGAGTAACTATCTAACGTGAAGCTCTGGGTTTTATTCCTGACATGGCAAAATGATAAGGTTTGAGTTTATAGCTGAGTGGTAGAGGTATACCTAGCATGTGTGAAGCCCTAGGCATAAGTTCTGGACACCAAGAAGAAAAGGGTCAATGAATATATTCTTTAACTATGTGAAACTGCCAGTTTGGCTTAGTATCAGCAGTTTCATATTGTGCACATTAACACATATTATGTTGCTGTCCATAAGTTTGGCATCATCATAGCTATGTGTAGAAATTTTTAGTGCTTCACATCTTTGGCTCAGAGCTTCATCCTCTACTGTAGGCACACAGTTTACTAAAGCTGCAAACTCTAGATAACTGTTTACCAGAAGCAGGGTTTTTTTTTGCCTTTAACCTTTTGTAATTGAGAATGTCCCTACTCTAGCCTCTTGCTTCATGCATTTCATCCTTCATTTTGAGTCATACCCTTACCTGGAAGCCCAAATTCATGACCTACTTTTCCAGTTCAAGACTGGGCTGGGAAGGTGGCTCAGTGGTAGAGCACGTGCCTTGCATGCCTGAGGCCCTGGGTTCGATTCCTCAGCACCATATAAGCAAAAAGAAAAAAAAAAGCCGGAAGTGGCGCTGTGGCTTAAGTAGCAGAGCGCTAGCCTTGAGTTGAAGAGCTGAGGGACAGTGCCCAGGCCCTGAGTTCAGCCCCCAGGACCGGACCCAAAAAAAAAAGACTTGAGACTATCAGGCATATGGCTTTAATCTCATTCATTGCTAGAGTTTGTTTTGGAGATATTTGTAGTTTTGGGGTCCAGTCATGCCTTCAGTGATAATATTCTCTGCTTAAAAGCAGGAAGAAGAATTGTACTTTGAGCTTCCTATTCTATCTTGATGTGAGATAGTTTAGTCTAACTCCTTAAAGTAGAATTATTGGGGCTTAACATCATTATGTTATTTAGAGGAGTCAAAACAGCATAATAATTTGAGTTCACTTTATGTCCTAGTGGATGCAGAAGGCAATGATAAAACACTACTAAAATATAAATGCCATACAATGAAGAAGCTTAGCATGACAAGAACTCTTCTGACAGAAAAGAAGGAAGGAGAAGAAAATATAGGTTTGTATACTTAATTCTTGAAAAGTAATCTAGTTTGTGTAAGGTATATTAAATAAGTAGATTTCATTAGGTAGCCGATGAAGAGAATACCACATGCTATTCAGGCAGGAGAAGAAGTTTATTTTATATTTTTAAAATTTTTTTGTCGGTCATGGGGCTTGAACTCTGGGCTTGGGCACTATCCCTGCACTCTTCAGCTCAAGGCGAGTTCTCTACTGCTTGAGCCACAGTACCACTTCTGGTCATAAAACAAAAGCAAAAGCTGGGCACTGGTGGCTTATGCCTGTAATCGTAGCTACGTAGGAGGCTGAGATCTAAGGATCACAATGTCCACCCAGGCAGCAAAGTCTATGAGACTGATCTCCAATTAATCACCAAAAAGCTGGAAGTTGAGTGGTCACTCAGTGGTAGAGTGCCAGCCTTGAGAGAAAAAAGCTAAGGAATGGCATCCAGGCCTTGCATTCAGGTCCCAGTACACTCTCTCTCATACACACATACACATGCTTATACTCAAAAAATACAATTCATGCTTTGAGAGTCTTTACCATTTCCTGCATGGGGAACAGGAAACGTTTCTGTTTCTCCTGAGTTTAACTGTGGTATACTAAATTAAGTCATTTTTAAACCTTAAAAAGAATTCACACACTTTCATTTTTGTAGTATGGTATTCATCGTAGGAAGGGGGTACACAGGGGCATGAATACCAGGAACTTAAGATCACTGGGGACCTCTTAAAGCTGGCTACCAAGCATGACAGTCTGCCGGCAGAACAAACTAGACTGGAGCTGTGACTCTCACCTCACAGCTTGTACTCTTAAGTGAAATCACATTGGGACTGGGTAGGTAACTTTGTGCTTAGCATGCTCAAGGCCCTGGGTTCAATCCCTAGGTCCTTCCTACTCACCTTACCCCAACCTCCTTCCTTAGGTTCCCCCCCACCAAAAAAAAAAAATGAAAAGGAAAGAATTCTTCCTTGGAAGGTGATAGAGGAGTATCATCTTTTTTTTTTTTTTTTGGGGGGTCCAGTCGTGGGGCCTGAACTCTGGGCCTGGATGTTGTCCCTCAGCTCTTCAGCTCAAGGCTAGCGCTCTACCACTTGAGCCACAGTGCCACTTCCGGGTTTTTTCTTTTTGCTTATGTGGTACTGAGGAATCGAACCCAGGGCCTCAGGCATGCAAGGCAAGCGCTCCACCACTGAGCCACCTTCCCAGCCCATGTATCATCTATTTTATTAGGAAAACTAACTAGATGATGGGCTGGGAATATATGGCTTAGTAGTAGAGTGCTTGCTTGCCTAGCATGCATGGAGCCCTGGGTTGATTCCTCAGTATCACACAGAGAAAGCTGGAAGTGGCACTGTGGCTCAAGTGGTAGAGTGCTGGCCTTGAGCAAAAGAAGCTCAGCAAAAGTGCCCAGGCCCTAAGTTCAAGTCACAGGACTGGCGGGAAAAAAAAAGGAAATTAGGGAATTGTATGGAAGTGACAAATGACATCTAATGACAAAAAAGTCATAAGATGACAGTGAAAGCTCACAATATTTGTCATAATGAATGGAGATTAATATCTGGGAAAGTCATAGAACCATAATTGAAGCTAATTTCTTCTAGTGATTTTGAAGATACATAACTGTAAAGTCATCCTAAGATCTTCAAGAAAAACAGCAATTACATGATTGTTTTATCTAGTCACAGTTGCTTTGTTTTATTTTGAAACATAGAATGAAAAATTTTAAATGTACTTAATTAAAATTTCTTTTTCATACTGTTTTTCTTGGTTTGTACTCCAATTCGCTATGCACAAATTAGGTGGAGTAGAATGGCTGCAAATGAAGGAAAACGACTCCTCCTATAGACCCAACATGATCTGTAGTTTTGTACATGAAAATGAAGATGAAGTTATAGTTCCAGCCCCTGAAAAACCTTTGGATTTGGAAGAGCAAGATATTCAAATAAAAGACAGTTCAAATTTGATCTATGAACAGGAAAAACAGATGCACCTGGATCCTGGCCTTCTTGCTGGCACTCCTTCTGAGATGGAAGGTTCTATTTTTATGGAAACTCAAGATGATGCCTTAGAAATCACTCCTCGATAAAAATGTTTCTCATAATAACTTAAAAAAAAGTTTTTACTTAAAATAATTGGCCGTGTAGCTTTCAGTTGGTTCACTGTTTATTATAGTTTTGGCCATATGAATACTTTCAAGTGATAGCACAACTTAATATTCAAGACACTGAGGACCAGAAATACATTTTTAAAAACATGATTTAATGACTTATTTAAAAAATTTTCTTTTTGGTCGGTTGTGGGCTTGAACTCTGGGCCTAGGCGCTGTCCCTCAGCTCTTCAGCTCAAGGCTAGGGCTCCGCTTCCAGTTTTCTGAGTGGTTTATTGGAAATAAGAGTCTCATGGACTTTCCTGCCCAGGCTGGCTTTGAACCGTGATCCTCAGTCTCAGTCTCCTGAGTAGCTAAGATTACAGGTGTGAGCCACTGGTGCCTGGCTTAATGACTTTTTCTTTTTTTTTTTTTTTTTTGCTAATACTTCCTTTTTCTTTTAAATATGGAATGCTTCATATATTTGCATGACATCCTTACACAGGAGCCATGCTAATCTTCTCTGTACCATTCCAGTTTTTAGTATATGTGCTGCCGAAGTCAGCATTTTTTTTTTTTTCCTCACCAGTCCTGGGATTTGAAATCAGCTTGGGCACTGTCCTTGAGCCTCTTTGTGCTTAAGGCTAGTGCTCTACCACTTGAACCACAGCATCACTTTCAGCTTGTTCTGAGTAGTTTATTGTAGATGAGTCTCACAGACTTTCCTGCCTGGGCTGATTTTGAACTGAATCCTCAGATCTCAGCCTTCTGAGTAGCTAGGATTATAGGTGTGAGCCACCAGCACCTGGTTTCTTTTTGTTTTTCTTCTGATGAGTACCTTGCTTGTTTGTTGTTTCATTCAGTTGTGAATGACAAAAGAGTTTTTCTGTGTAGCTCAATGGGGCCATGAAGTCAAAATCCTTTTTTTTTTTTTTTTTACTGTAAAGATACTATACAGAGGGTTACAGTTATATGAGTGAGGTAATGAGTACACTTCCTCTTGAACATTGTTAGCCCCTCCATTGTTTTCCCCCTTCAAAATCCTTTTGCATCAGTCACCCAAGTGCTTTTAAAATTACTTTGGAAATAGAAGCTGTGACTGGATGCTGGTGACTCACACCTGCAATCCTAGCTACTCAGAAGGCTGAGATCTGAGAATCGTAGTTCAAAGCCAGCCCAGACAGGAAAATCCACGAGCTCTTATCAGGCACACACACACACACATATACAGCCAGTAGTGCAGTTTGGCTCAACTGGTAGAGTGCTAGCCGTGAGCAGAAAACTTCAGGGACAACGCCCAAGACCTGAGTTCAAGCCCCTGATCTGCACCAAAAAAAGCAATAGGGTTTATTTCTTTGTGTTTCTGTTTTCTTTTTGTCTTGTTTATCTGTCTTTGGGAGGATAAGGGGATGATGACACGGAAATGGAGGGAAAAAGGGTAAACAAAGCAGTGCTATTCACTAGACACTATGCTGAAAACTTCAGCTTGTGGGTGGAATGGGAGGGAAAAACTGGGAGAGAGTGAAGGAAGGGATGACATTGTTCAGGAAGAAATGTACTAATTACTTGATTTATGAAACTAGCCTCTCTGTATATAACCTGTATAGTAATAAGAAAAAACAAACATGGAAGCTATGAGTAACAAGATGGAAGATTGGATTCTGATACTGTTATACTTTAACTGCCTTGGGCTTTGGTGAGGGGTTAATAAGAGCCTTTTTCTTTTTTTGTTCTGTTGTTTTTTTGTCAGTTGTGGGCTTGAACTCTGGGCCTGGACCGTGTCCCTCAGCTTTTCAGCTCAAGGTGAGCGCTCTACCACTTAAACCACAGCACCACTTCCGGTTTTCTGAGTGGTTTATTGGAGATGAGAGTCCCACAGACTTTCTTGCCCAGGCTGGCTTTGAACTGTGATACTCAGATCTCAGCCTCCGGAGTAGCTAGGATTACAGATGTGAGCCACTGGCACCCGGCAAGCCTTTTTCTTTTATTAAAATGAACTTAACTTTATCTTTGAGTACTCCATAAAAATGGTTAGAGTGGCAGGTGCAGATATAGTTTAATGATAAACTATAATATGTGTGAGGCTCTGGGTTTCATCCCCAGCATCATCTAACAACCACCAAAAATAAAAGCAACCAAACTAACACCCCTTTTTGATAAATTATGTGATCATATGAAGACTTAGTGTTAATGTCCATTCAAATACATAGGTTTTAAATTTAAAAACAGGGATACAGGAGGACCCATTACAACAATGAGATGTACAAGTCATTACAAGTCCTTATGTCGAAAAAACGAACTTTACAACTTTGGTGGGAGAGGAGAGGGGGAGAATACGAAGGGACGGGAAGGGGAAACAAAGCAGAGGCTACAATGCTTGATAAGAAATGTGCTCATCTTACCCATGTAATTGTAACCCCTCTGTACAGTATTTTCACAATAAAAATATATTGAAAAAAAACACCAAATACATAGGTTTTGGAACCAGGGCATGGCAGTACACATTTGTAATCACAGCTATGTGGGATTTTGGTTCTAGGCCTCTTTGGCAAAAAGCTGGAGTATCTATCTGAAAACCTAAAGCAAAAATGGCTGGAGTTGAAGCTTAAGTGAGAGTGCTTAGAGCACTGGATCCACAACGCTAGTACTGCCAAAAAGTTCCAGTCTAGCCTAGGTGACATAGTAAGACTGTCTCTAAAGAACAAAAAGCCCAGTGCTAATGGCTCATGCCTTTAATTGTAGCTATTCAGTAGGCTGAGTATGAGGATCACAGTTCAAAGCCAGCCCAAATAGGAAAGTCCATGAGACTCTTATCTCCAATTAATCACAGAAAAAGCTGGAAGTGAAGTGGTGATGTAGCTCAAGTAGTAGAGTGCTGGCCTTAAGCAAAAGGAGTGCAGGGATAGGACCCAGGCCCAGAGTTCAAGGCCCAGTACTGGCAAAAAATACAAAAAGAAAGGAAAAAAAACACCCTAGGGATCTTAGAATTCTATTAAGTGCCATGTTGCTTCTTGGAAACATCTCTGGAAGGTATCTTTGTGGTCTTAGAGGAGATAGTTTCTTTGGCTTGTCATAGCTCATTTTCTATTGCTATGACAAGATTTCTGAGGATTTAGAAAAGAATCCCTTCCCTTGTCTTTCCCAAGTTGTCCAGGCAGGTCCTCAAATCCTGGCTAATGGCTCCTTTCTCCATATTCAGAAGCCATCAATATACATCTTCAAATATCTGTCACTCTGACCTCTGCTTCTGTTGTTTCCTTTTTCTTTTTTGGGGGGTGGGGTGGGGGGAATGGTACTAGGGCTTGAGCTCAAGGCTCTACCACTTATTCTAATCTTCCAGTTGTGGCTTTTTGCTTGTTAGTTGGAAATAAGAATCTCTAGGACCTGTGTCTGCTTAGGCTGGCTTTGGACTCTTACCCTCAGTTCTCATCTTCCTAAGTAACACATCTTTAGTATAATTATGTCTACTGTAATATTCCAGCTTCCCAGGACCAATGGGCAAAAGGAGTCACCAGCACTCTGTCAAACTGGCTGGAAGCCTTTTGTTAGCCACTTGGCATCTGTCCTCAGCTTACAGAGCTGGAGAACAGCCCGTTTGCTTCCCATGGGGGCGTTTTATAGGAAGAGGTTTTACGTAGGTGATGTTTACCAATACAAGCAAGCAAGGTTACAGAAGCAAAACATAGCCTTGAGTCATAAGAGCATAGGCAAAACAAATTTTATTTAGTCAGCATGATTGGTATTATCAATGCTATTGACATTATTACAAAAAGTTAAAACATCTTTGGCTTACTGAAGGCAAAACAACCTTGGGAAGGGGTAGTATATTTTAAATCTCAAAACATGAGAAACTCATTCCCATGGTTGGGGGTGCACTGAAATTTTCTTTACAGAAATGATTTTTATTATAAGCTCCTTACTAATAACGGCAAGTCAGTACAGCTGTTAAGGCTCAAGGTTGTCAGCAACGTTTGTGGCAAACTACAAAGCTGACAGCCTGGGAAGCTTGAGAGAGGGAGACATGTGTGCTTTTAGCAGGATGTTTCTGATTTCACATTTTTGTTGCCATAAATATCCTTTTCCAAGGGAAAGGGGCCCAGGGGGGAAAGTAAGTCTCCTATAGCAGGAGGGACTGAGGCTAGGCAATAGAAGTAACTGTCAGTAACTCAGATACCTTGATTTTGGTGGGGGTTATCACAGCTACCTACTAAGAGGTAGATGTTGGGTTGAGGCCCACCTGGAAAATTTAGGATAATTGATTCACCATGTAAGTTAACATATTCATACGTTCTAGGAACTAGGGCATAGGCATTTTAGGAAGTTTGTATTTTTTTTTCCTCCAATCCTGGGGCTTGAATTTCTAGGCCTGGGATCTTTCTCTGAGCTTTTTTTTGCTTAAGGCTAGTGGTCTAACATTTGAGCCACAGTGCCACTTCCAGTTTTTTTTTTTGTCAGTCGTGGGGCTTGAATGCTGTCCCTCAGTTCTTCAGCTCAAGGCCAGCACTCTACCACTTGAGCCACAGTGCCACTTCCGGTTTTCTGGTGGTTTAGTGAAGAATCTCATGGACTTTCCTGCCCAGGCTGGCTTTGAACTGGGATCCTCGGATCTCAGCCTCCTGAGTAGCTAGGATTACAAGCGTGAGCCTCTGGTGCCCAGCCTGAGTTGTTTATTGGAGATAAAAGTCGGGCTGGGAAGGTGGCTCAGTGGTAGAGCGCTTGCCTTGCATGAATGAGGCCCTGGGTTCGATTCCTCAGCATCACATAAGCAGAACAAATAAAAAAGCTGGAAGTGGCGCTGTGGCTTAAGTGGTAAAGTGCTAGCCTTGAGCTGAAGACCTGAGGGACAGCACCCAGGCCCAGAGTTCAGGCCCCACGACTGAACCCCCCCCCCCCAAAAAAAGTCTCAGACTTTCCTTTGGCTGACTTCGAACATGATCTTCAGATCTCAGCCTCCTGAGCAGCTAGGATTACAGGCATGATTTGATATTTAAATTATCCTGAGGCAAGACCTTTGAGTCCTTTTTCTTATTGCCTACAGAGATTTCTAGGCTAAACTGTCAAGAAGATTCGGCTCCCTGACTTGGAACTGGGATTCTAGAGACCAAATGGGCTGGAATTTTTAGGAAAAGTCTACAGATCTGCATAAGATTCTTCTAGTTGGGAAAAAAAAAAAAGATTCTTCTAGTTGGGTGCTGGTGGCTTCTAATTACTCAGGAGGCTGAGATATGAGGTTTATGACTTGAATCCAGTCTGGGCAGGAAAGTCCATTAAATTCTTATCTCCAAGAAACTACTCAGAAAAGGCTGGAAGTGGTGCTGTGGCTCAAATGGGAAGGCTAGCCTTGAACAAAAAGAGGCTCAAGGACAGTGATCAGGCCCTGAGTTTAAGTCCCAGAACCAAAACACACATATGCGCGCGCACACACACACACACACACACGCAGAGAATGTAGTTCAAGGCCACTTCTGGCAAGAAGTGGGGCCTTATCCAAAAAATAAAGCACAGAGGGCACCTGTAGTAGTGTGCTGACATAGCAGTGAGAAACTCAGAATTCAAATCCCAGTACCACCAAGAGATTACAAAAATATTTTGGAGAAAATCACAATCAGTATTTTCAGCAATTTTTAAAGTTGTGGTCATAAACTGCCCTTTGGATCTCAGTCGTGTTAATGGTGCCCATTTCACACTCATTTTTTGTAACTCCATGAATGCCTACCTTGCTTTCAATCTTTCTAGAATCCCGAGGGCACCTCCCAACACTCCAAGTTCCCGAATTGCTGGTATTCATATTCGTACAGTCATTTTTTTTTTTTTTTTTTTTTTTTTTTTAACACCTGTAATCCCGGCTAGAAAGGCAAAGAAAGCCCGTCACCAAGGCAACACGATTTCACGCAAAATGGACGCCGGCTCCGGTCGCTCGGCAGTCCCAGGAAGTTACCTCGCGTATTTCCGGTTTCGTATTTCCGGTCCCGCCCGTTCCGGCGCACGCGCCGTTCTCGTGGCTCCTCTCGGTGCTGGTGCTGGAGCCCGGCTCGGGTTGAAGTAGCTATGGATTCTTTGGATCGAGTTGTGTAAGTACTTTGGTCTTCGTGGCGGAGTGGGGACGGCGGCGACCGGGTCTCCACGGTTACCTCCGTCCTCTCTGGCACTTTGCCTTCGTCTGTGCGGGTGGGTTCTCCAGCTCGTACGGCCGGCGCGGGGAGATCCGGGAGGGCCCGGAAGCCCCCCGCGATGGCCGCTTTCATCCGCCCGGGGAGCCTGAGACCTGCTTGCTCAGGTGTGAGTGGGGCTACCGTGAGGGGTGAGAGCTCCGACCTTTGAGTCTGACAGATCGAGGTGACAGTCCGAGAGGGCTACTTAACGCCTTGTGACTGGGCCATCCACCTCTCCAAAGATCAATTACGTGATGAGCAGTGAGAGTTTGGTGAAAGCTTTTGTGAAGTTTTCGCTGCAGCATCTGTGAAAGTGTTCATTAGCTTGATCTATTCCTTTCAGCTTTCGTACACTTCTAACTATCCTTCAGGAGTGTTTTGGGTCCGATCGTGGGGCCTGAACTCTGGGCCTGGACGCTGTCCCTCAGCTCTTCAGCTCAAGGCTAGTACTCTACCACTTGAGCCACAGCGCCACTTCCGTTTTTTTTCTTTTTGCTTATGTGGTGCCGAGGAATCGAACCCAGGGGCTCATGCATGCAAGGCAAGCGCCCTACCACTGAGCCACCTTCCCATCCCTCCTTCAGGAGTGTTTTAAGTTAAAAAATATTTACTAGATATTCCTGCTGGTTTTTTTTTTTTTTATGATTTTCTGGCGATTTACAAGTGCAATGCAGAAGACAGTTTTTGTTGTTAAGAGATAATTAATCAACATAATTATATACGTGTAAAGTTTTGGGTTCACAAAGATGAGTTGCTATTTATAGAAAGCTGATAAACGTGTCATGTACTATTTGCATTCATTGTTAGTGAGATGTATCAAATCACATTATTATAGAGCATATAGTGTGTGTAGATCAATTAGTTATCTCTTGATTTTTAAAAAATTAACATCTGTTTTACCAAAGGGTTCATTATGCATATGATGCAATTTGGTCAGATCGATCACCTCCACTGTTCTCTACATGGCTGTTAATTTGTTTTTGTTTTGTTTTGTTTGCCAGTCCTGGGGCTTATACTCAGGGTTTGGGCACTGTCCCTGAGCTTCTTTTTGCTCAAGGTTAGTACTCTACCACTTGAGCCACGGCCCTACTTCTGGCTTTTTCTGTTTATGTGGGACTGAGGAATCGAACCCAGGGCTTCATGCATGCTAGGCAAGCACTCTACTGTTGAGCCATATTCCCAGCCCCGATTTTTTTTTTCTTTTTTTTGTGCCAATCCTGGGCTTGAACTCAGGTCTGGGTGCTGTCCCTGAGCTTTTTCGCTCAAGATTAGTGCTCTATCACTTGAGCCACAAGTCTACTTCTGGCTTTTTGCTGGTTAATTGGAGATAAGAGTCTCACAGTGTTCCCTGCCCTGGCTGGCTTTTAACAGTGATCCTCAGATTTTAGGCTACTGAGTAGCTAGGATTGTAGGCATGAGCCACTGCCACTTGGCTCTTAATTTGTTTTTTGTTGTTGTTGTTGAATTTAGCTTTTTGTTTGCTAATTAGTTTCTCTGCCACTTGAGTCAAACCTCTAGGCCTTTTTACTTTAGATTACTTTTCAGATAGAGTCTCACTATTTTGCTCAGGCTGGCTTGGCACTTTAATCAACCTACTCTTCCTCCTGTATAGCTGGGTTTACAGGACACCACCGTGTGTGCCTTGTTTGTTGGGCTATCTCACTATTTGCCTAAGCTAGCAATGAGCCTCAATTGTGGGATTATATATATATATATATATATATATATATATGTATTTGGGATTATAGATACCATTAACCACACCTGACCTCTATGATTTGATTTAATAAATAATATATATCTTTTTTTTTTTTTGTCAGTTCGGGGGCCTGGGCACTGTCCTTCAGCTTTCAGCTCAAGGCTAGTGCTCTACCACTTGAGCCATAGCACTACTTCCAGTTTTTTGAGTGGTTTATTGGAGATAAAAAGGCTCACGTGCTTTCTGCTAGGGCTGGCTTTGAACTGTGATCCTCAGATTTTAGCCTCCTGAGGACCTAGGATTACAGGCATGAGACACTGACGCCTGGTTGGAGAATTTTTAAATTCCACATAGGAAGCTAAAGTAGTTATACATTCTGTTTTTCTTCCCCAAGGATCCATAAGACTAGATGGAAGAAGGAAGGTGTAATACTTATTTAAGATGGAATTCTGGCAGAAAACCAGTTGGAAAGCAAGCTTCTCTACATTTCCTTTTCTAAACAAATTATAGTAGCATGCCATTCTACTGTCATATTAAAAAAAATCAGGATAATAATTTGTGTTCCATTCATGTTATACAGGGTGATTGGTCTACATCAGTTTTTAAATCTAGCTCATTGTGAAGATTGACAAATACTAGCTATGTGATTGTGGGCACATTACTTCTCTAGCCTTAATTTGCCTCATCTTTAAATTGTACCTTACTAGAGTTATCCTATTTAAGTGTTAACCATTGCCAGGTGCTGGTGATTTCCATCTGTAATCCTAGATACTCAGTAGGCTGAGATCTGAGGATCACAGTTTGAAGCTAGCTTGACTAGAAAAGTCCACAAGACTCTTATCTTCAATTGATCAGCAAAAAACAGGAAGTGGAGCTGTGGGTCAAGTAGTAGATTTACCAGCCTTGAACAAGAAAGTCAAGTGAAGCCAGGTGCTGGTGACTCACATCTGTAATCCTAGCTACTCAGGAAGCTGAGATCTGAGGATCACAGTTCAAAGCCAGCCCAACAGGAAAATTCATGAAACTCTTAACTCTAATTAAGCACAAAAAAGCCAGAAGTGGAGCTGTGACTGAAGTGGTAGAACTCTATCCTTGAACAAAGAAACTCAGATATGTCACATAGGCCCTAAATTGAAGTCCCAGGATTGCCCTACCCCCAAAAAAAGAAAATAAAAATACCAGTATTTATTTGAGTTCTTTAATTTTAAAAAGTTAAGGAAAAATCAGTAGTAACATAGTGTCAGGAAGACTGAGAATGTGGCTCAGTAGTAGAGTGCTTGCCTAGCATGCATGAAGCCCTGGGATTGATTCCTCAGTACCACATAAACAGGAAAAGCCAGCATTTGCTCTGTGGCTCAAGTGCTAGCCTTGAGCAAAAGAAGCTCAGGGACAATGATCAGGCTCTGAGTTCAAGCCCCAGAACTGGCCAAAAAAAAAAATGCTGGGAATATCAAAATATAAGTTTTCTTAGGAAGCCAAAAGCTACTAAAACCCGTATTTAACAGTAATAATGGAGTACCTTCTATATTATCTCCCTATAAATTAGAGATTCTTTTTGTTTTTGTTTGTTTGGGTGCCAGTACTGGAGCTTGAACTCAGGATCTGTGTAGTGTTCCTTAGCTTTTTTTTGCTGAAGACTAGTGTTTTCTCCCACTTGAGCCTCAGCTCCACTTTCAGCTTTTGGAGGTTAATTGGAGATAAGAATCTCTTGGACTTTCCTTTCTAGGGTGGCTTTGAATCTTTATCCCCTAATCTCAGCCTCTAGAGTAGATAGGATTACAGGTGTTGAGCTACTGAAATCTGGCTGAGTTTGTTTGTTTGTTTGTTTTGGTCAGTCACAAGGCTTGAACTGTGGATCTGGGCACTGTCCCTCAGCTCTTCAGCTCAAGGCTAATGCTCTACCACTTGAGCCACAGCACCACTTCTGTTTTTCTGGTGGTTAATTGGAGATAAGAGACTTTCAGACTTTCCTGCCAGGGCTGGCTTTGAACCACGATCCTCAGATCTCAGCCTCCAGAGTAGCTAGGATTACAGGCATGAGCCACTTTTCCCTGGCCAGAGAGTTTTTTAAATGATAGAATCTTTTTTTTTTTAATATATATATTTTTTTATTGTAAAGATACTATACAGAGGGTTACAGTTACATGAGTGAGGTAATGAGTACACTTCCTCTTGAACATTGTTACCCCCTCCATTGTTTTCCCCCTACCAACCCCTTCCTCCCTCCCTTCCCCGAGGTTCTTTTTTTTTTTTTTTTTTTTATTGTGATTAAGTGATTACATAATTTCCGGAAATTCACAGTATTGTGGAATAATGATACTCATTTAAAGTCACAAGTTCATTCTAACTTTCCTGGAGCAAATTGTCTATCACAGTCTGTAATATATAACGGTGTTCACATGTTATATACCATATATGTGATCAGCAGCATGAGGATATTTAGTAGTGGTTCAACCAGATGAGTGGGAGTTCTTTGTTTCTTAAGTCCTGTTAGTTTTGTCATATCACCTAACATTTTGGATTTAGCATCCACTTATCAGGGAGACCATGTACCGTTTGTCTCTTCGTTCTTGGCTAACCTCGCTCAACATGATTCCTTCTAGCTCCATCCATTTCCCTGCAAATGCCATTATTTTGTCATTTCTAATGGCTGCATAATATTCCATTGTGTATAGATACCACAATTTTTGGGTCCATTCATCTGTGGTGGGGCATCTAGGTTGTTTCCATATCCTAGCTCTTGTGAACAGTGCTGCAATAAACATGGAGGTGCACGTGTCCTTGTATATTGGTTCCTGTTGTTCAGGGTAGATGCCTAGAAGTGGTATGACTGGGTCGTAAGGGAGGTCAATCTTTAGCTTTCTAAGGACCCTCTAGACTGCTTTCCAAAGTGGTTGTATAAGTGTACATTCCCACCAGCAGTGTAATAGGGTTCCTCTTTCTCCACATCCCCTCCAGCATTTGTCGTTGGCTGATTTGTGGATGTGGGACATTCTGACTGGGGTAAGGTGGTATCTCAGGGTTGTCTTTATTTGCATTTCCTTCACCACCAGGGATGATGAACATTTCCTCATGTGTTTCTTTGCCATTTTTATTTCTTCATTTGAGAAGTCCCTCTTTAGTTCCCTTGCCCATTTAGTAATTGGTTTGTTAGGTTTGGGAGGGATTAGTTTCTTGAGTTCCCTGTATATACAGGATGTTAACCCCTTGTCTGATATATTGCTGGTAAATATTTTTTCCCAATTAGTTGGTTGTCTTTCTAGCTTAGTTGCGATAGATTTAGCTGTGCAGAAGCTTTTTATTTTAAGGTAGTCCCATTTGTCGAGTCTCTCTCCAACTTGTGACCCTGGGACTCTGTTCAGGAAGTTCCTTCCTGTGCCTATTAGTTCAAGTGTCTCTCCTACTCTGTCCCTGCAGTAGTTTCAGAGATTCAGGTTTAATGTTAAGGTCTTTAATCCATTTTGAGTTGATGTTGGTGCATGGTGATAGGCTGGGGTCCACTTTTAGTTTTCTGCATGTGGCTGCCCAGTTTTCCCAGCACCAGCGGTTGAAGAGGCTGTGTTTCTTCCATTGTATGTCTTTGGCTCCTTTGTCGAATATCAGCTGGCTGTAGGCCTGTGGATTTATTTCTGGATCTTCTATTCTGTTCCATTGGTCTTCAGGTCTGTTTTTGTGCCAGTACCATGCTGTCTTTGTTATTATAGCTCTGTAGTAGAGTTTGAAGTTCGGTATGGATAGCCCTCTCATATTGTCTTTATCCCCTAGAATTGTTAAATGATAGAATCTTAATGGACAACACACATAGAATTTGGTCATTAGTCATTTGTACTATGAGAAAACATATTACAAATTATGCTTTTCCAAACAGAAAACCCAAAACAAAAAGAGCCAAGCGATTCCTTGAGAAGAGAGAACCCAAGCTGAGTGAAAATATTAAAAATGCCATGCTGATTAAAGGGGGAAATGCCAATGCCATAGTGACACAAGTTCTCAAAGACATGGTATGTATGTCTACTTTTCTTTCCAGGGAGTTAGGCCTGTCTCCCATATGTTCAATTTTGAAGTCGTATTGAAATGATTTTAGAAACTATGGGCATGCTAAATTGGGCTAAGTAGGGTAAGTTTGCCTTAAGATTTACTGCTCTTAGAGAAAAGCTGACATTGGAGATTGTCTTGGCAGAACGTGACTACTGATTTTCTTTTTTGTCAGTTGTGGGGCTTGAACTTGTCCCTGAGCTTTTTCACTCAAGGCTAGTGCACAACCACTTTGAGTTACAGCTCTACCTTCTGTTTTCTGCTGGTTAATTAGAGATAGGAGTCTCAGAGACTTTCCTGTCCAAGCTGGCTTGGAACCATGATCTTCAGACCTCAGGCTCCTGAGTAGCTAGGATTACAGGCATGAGCCACTGGCACCTGGCTCTGCTTTTCTTTAAAACAGCTAGTTGCTGTAGTAAATTTAAAACTGCTTCAATTACTAGAGTTCACTTTACACATATTTTCAGAAACATTTTTTTTTTTTGTCGGTCGTGGGGCTTGAACTCTGGGCCTGGGCGCTGTCCCTCAGCTCTTCAGCTCAAGGCAAGCACTCTACCACTTGAGCTACAGCGCCACTTCCGGTTTTCTGGTGGTTTATTGGAGATAGTCTCACGGTCTCTCCTGCCTGGGCTGGCTTTGAACCTCGATCCTCAGATCTCAGCCTCCTGAGTAGCTAGGATTACAGGCGTGAGCCACCAGCGCCCGGCTTCAGAAACATTTAATATATAAAATGAGATAAATGCAGATTACTGTGTATTTATTTTGTTTTTGTTTTTGGGTCCAGTTGTGGGGCCTGAACTCTGGGCCTGGACGCTGTCCCTCAGCTCTTCAGCTCAAGGCTAGCGCTCTACCACTTGAGCCACAGCGCCACTTCCGGCTTTTTTCTTTTTGCTTATGTGGTGCTGAGGAATTGAACCCAGGGCCTCATGCATGCAAGGCAAGCGCTCTACCACTGAGCTACCTTCCCAGCCCCAACTGTGTATTTATTCATTTGGCACCACTGGTTAGTATCCTACCTTCAGGGTCTTGCTATGTAGCCCAGGCTAGCTTCAAACTCAAGATCCTTCTGCTTCAGCTTTCTAAGTGCCAACATACCCAGCCTGAGTGTGTTTTCAAGCTTGACTAAACTCCATATGTTAATTAAACATGAATCAATACAGACATGAGAATACCTACTATGTGTTTATCCTTTCTGAAATGTTTGATGTTATTGTGTTAGTGGGACCCAGTTCCTCTCCTTCCCACATCCTGTCAACACAATGACCTTTTGTATTTAAGCTCCAAGAACAGCACAGTATTAAAGATTATTACAATAACACATTCATAATGACTCAAGTTGGCAAGAAAAGAGGTAAGCGTTTGGTTAAGAATTATTAAAAGTTTTGGTACTTGACATGATGGTACATACCTGTAATCTAGCACTTAAGTAAAAGCTGGAGGATTGAGAGTTCAAGGCCTAAAACGTATATGTAGGCACACAAAATAGAGAATCAAAATTTAAGATGTGTAGACGACTGAAAAATCATACAAACCTTTAATTAGGAATATCCTGTCTAATTTAGAACATTAAGCTTATAAGATATTGCAAGTAATCCTATCCTTGTAGAAGACAGGATAGGATTCAGGAACCAGAGCAGTTTCAGGATGAATGTTGTGATGCTTTATTTTAATCTCTGTTTTGTAGAATTTTTTTAATTAATTTTTTTTTCAGTATGCACTGAAAAAACCATATGGCGTTCTATATAAAAAGTAAGTAGTGATTTTTATTCTTACTTTATCTTAAATCTTTTGGTCTTATTAGAAAAGTAACAATTTTCACTAATTTTACAATAAAAAAATTTGAAAAAAAGAAAAGTAACAATTGCTTCATGACATAGAAAAAATACCTTTTTTTTTCTTTTGTTGGTCTTGTGGTTTGAGTAGTGCCTGGGTACTGTCCCTGATCTTTTTTTTTTTTTTGGGTCTGGTCGTGGGGCCTGAACTCTGGGCCTGGGCACTGTCCCTCAGCTCTTGAGCTCAAAGCTATCGCTCTACCACTTGAGCCATAGCACCACTTCTGGCTTTTTTCTTTTTGCTTATATGGTGCTGAGGAATCGAATCCAGGGCCTCAGGCATGCAAGGCAAGCGCTCTACCACTGAGCCACCTTCCCAGCCCCTGTCCCTGATCATTTTTGCTCACAAATGTTGCTCTACCATTTGAGCCACAGTCCCACTTACATCTTTTTTAGTAGTTCTTTTTTTTTTTTTTTTTCATTTCTGGAGCTTGAACTCAGGGCCTGGGCACTGTCCCTGAGCTGCTGCTTTTGCTCAAGGCTAGCACTCTACCACTTGAGCCACAACACCACTTCTAGCCTTTTCTGTTTATATGGCACTGAGGAATTGAACCCAGGGCTTCATGCATGCTAGGCAAGCACTCTACCACTAAGACACATTCCCAGTCCTTTAGTAGTTCTTTGAAAATAAAAAGTCTCATGAACTTCCCTGCCTGGACTGGCTTCAAACCTCGATCCTCAGATCTCAGCCTCCTGAGTTATTAGAATTACAGGCATAAGCCAGCAGTGCCTGGCCTATTGCTCTTAAAAAATTATTTTTATTAAGTTGTTGTACAAAGGGGTTCAATTCCAGAAAGAAGTCAGGTTATGGGTACATTGCATTTATATCACCCCTTCCATTGTTCTCCCCCCTCTTTCCCATCCCATCTGTACCCTCAATTAGTTTTTATATAATGTACAATGAAAATAAGAACTGCACTTGCTTACCTTTCCTCCCTCCATAATTGCCTCCCTCCCAACATACTTTAATTGGACCTTCCTTCTTCCCTCCCTCCCTCCCTCCTTCCCTCCCTCCCTCCCTCCCTCCCTCCCTCCCTCCCTCCCTCTCCCTTCCTTCCTTCCTTCCTTCCTTCCTTCCTTCCTTCCTTCCTTCCTTCCTTCCTTCCTTCCTTCCTTCCTTCCTCCCTCACTCCCTCCTTCCCTCCCTCCCCTCCCTCCCTCCCTTCTTCCCCCTGATTCTGGGGCTTGAACTCAGGAGCTGTCCCTGTGCCTCTTTGTGCTCAAGGCTAGTGCTCTACCGCTTGAGCCACAGCCTACTTTGCCCTTTTTCTGAGTTGTTTATTAGAGATGAGTCTCACAGACTTTTCTCCTTGGGCTGGCTCCAAATTGTGATCCACAGATCTCAGCCTCCTGAGAAGCTAGTATTGTAGGCATGAGCCACCAGCTTTGATTGAAATTTTGAAGGAAGTTTAGATTTTCTATTTTTCAGTGACAGTTATGTCAATGTGGATTCAATATATTCTTCAGGCTTATAATCCAATTCTGTCATATTTATTTATTTTTGTTGGTCATGGGCTTGAATTCTGGGCCTGGGCACCGTCCCTCAGCTCTTAAGCTCAAGGATTACAGGCGTGAGCCACCGGCACCCGGCTTTATTCTACCTTGTTAATGCTACAGTCCATTCTCATATAGCAGACAGATGCTTTAATAAGAACATTTCAGTCTTGTCCTGGAGGTAGTGTTTCTCATTCATTTTTTTTTTTTTTCTTGTGTTTGGGCTTGAACTCAGGGCTCAGGTACTGTCCCTGAGCCTTTTTGCTCAAGGCTAACACTGCCACTGTAGCCTCTATTTCCAGCTTCTTGTTGGTTAATTGAAGATAAGAGTCTCACAGACTTTCCTGGCTGGCTTTGAACCATAATCCTCAGATCTCAACCTCTTGAGTAGCTGGATTACAGGTGTGAGCCTTGGTTCTAGGCCTGCCTGCCTGCCTTCCTCCCTCCCCCCCCCCCTTTCTTTCTCATTTATTGTTATAACTGAGGAGTTAACAATTTCATTAGTTAGGTATTGAGTACATTTCTTTTTTTGAACAATGTCACCCCTTCCTTTTCTTTCCCTGTTTGCCCCTCCCATCTCTGTCCACAAGTTACATAGGTCATGTTCCACATAATGTATGCAGAGTAGCATGATTGCATTTGCTCACTCTCCTTCCTACCTTTCTGCACTCCTTCCCCACTCCTGGTGTCGATGCATACATTTCTTATCTTGTCCAATAATGCTCTGTATTATCTGGGTGTCATACCTCCACACCATTTTCCCCTTTGCTTACTAAGTTCCATTGATAATTGCCTTCTGTCTGTTGCTTGAAACAAGTGTGTTTCTATCTCAGAAACTTTGCACTTTTTTCTTTTTGCAGTACTAGGCGAGTAACTGATTAATCTGGTCTTAGCTCAGTCATTTTTCACTAACCGATTTTATTTTTACCATAATTATACTTTTTGCATTCTTTTATTTTCCCACTAGAATATAAGCTTTATAAAAGCAAGCATGTTATTTGATGAAGCATCTCTAGCTCTTAAAATAGTGCCTAGCATGTAAAAGCACTAAATAACTGTACCTAACAATTAATGTCTTTTCAGGAGTTTAAAAATCACTTTAATATAAAGTTTTCTTTTATCTTTTACTCAGCATCTTGCTTAATTAAATTTATCAAGATTATTAAAGTTGGAATCACCTATTTTATTATTGTTAGGAAAAACATTACAAGACCATTTGAGGATCAGACATCACTGGTAAGTACAAGTCTTTCCGATTTTTTTTTTTTTTTTTTTTTTTGGTATTGATACTGGAGCTTGAACCCAGGGACTTGTACTCTCCCTTAGCTTTTCACCCAGGCAGGAATTCTACCACTTGAGCCATAACTCCACTTCTGGAAACTTGCTGGTTAATTGGAGATAGGACTCCCATAAACTTTTCTGCCCAGACTGGCTTCAAATCTTGATCCTCAGAACTTAGCCTCCTCAGTAGTTAGGATAACATTCATGAGCCACCAGCACTAGACCCTCATTGTATGTTAGCAAGTTTGAAATTTGAACGAAAGCCTTTTTGAATAGTCTAAATAATAAGAGGAAAACTGAATTATTTTAGTGTGAAAACTGGAGCTAGAGGTATGGTTCAGAAGTAGAATGCTGGCCTAGTAAGTGTGGAGTGGGTTGAGTTCAAACCTCAATACTACCCCAAAGAATAGATATACATGTAAACATACTTATGTAATATTAGTATATATTGACATAATATATATCTAATAATATATTTATAATGTAGTTATATTGGCAGGGCTAAGGTTATGGCTCAAGTGATAGAGTTGTCCAGCATGTGCAATGATCTGGACTCAATCCTCAGCGCTGGGACAGACAGACAGATATTAGAAATATATATATATATATAAAGTACTTCTAGTTTCATTAAATTTAAAATTTATCCATATCTTTTTTTTTTTGGTCTGGTCGTGGGGGCCTGAACTCTGGGCCTGGGCGCTGTCCCTCAGTTCTTTAGCTCAAGGCCATCGCTCTACTACTTGAGCCACAGCGCCACTTCCGGCTTTTTTCTTTTTGCTTATGTGGTGCTGAGGAATCAAACCCAGGGCCTCATGCGTGCAAGGCAAGTGCTCTACCACTGAGCCACCTTCCCAGCCCTAAATTTAAAAGCTAAACATGAAGTATTTTTTCTTATCCCGTCTAGTTTATTATATATTCTCTTAATTTCCAATATGCTTTTTTAGTTTAGAGATAAGAATTCTTAAGGGGATTTTTGTTGGTTTGATTTTATAGGAGTTCTTTTCAAAGAAGTCAGATTGTTCTCTGTTCATGTTTGGCTCCCATAATAAGAAGCGGCCAAATAATCTGGTAATAGGTAAGTAACATTTACTTTTCAGTGTTTCTATTCACAAAATAAGCTATGTGCCACAGATTACCAGATGGTATTTAGAATTAAAAACTTGCCAGCTCTAAAATAGTGTTTTCTTTTCACCTTGTGACATTGAATAAAGTTTGCTTTAGTAGAGCACTTGCCTTTGGCTTTTTATTTTTATTTTTGGTTGGCCATGGGGCTTGTACTCAGAGCCTAGGCACTGTCCCTGAGCTCTTTTTGCTCAAGGCTACGACTCTATCACTTTGAGTACAGGGCCACTTCCAGTTTTCTGGTGGATAGAGTCTCACAGACTTTGCTTGCCTGGGCTGGCTTTGAACCACGATTCTCAGATCTCAGTCTCCTGAGTAGTTAGGATTACAGGCGAGAGCCCCCAGCACCCAGCTTGGAATTGGAGTCTCCATATTAAGAAGGGGTATATAAGTATTATCCAGTCAATAATAGGACAGTAAGACAAGAATGAATATGATAGAGTTCCTGAGTTATTAATGCTCTTAAGACTGCTTTTGCTCTTTGTGGAAACAGTTCTGATTTAAAAAGAAGTGTAGGGGCTGGGAAGGTAGCTCAGTGGTAGAACGCTTGCCTTGCATGCATGAGGCCCTGGGTTCGATTCCTCAGCACCACATAAGCAGAAAAAGCTGGAAGTGGTGCTGTGGCTCAAGTGGTAGAGCGCTAGCCTTGAGCTGAAGAGCTAAGGGACAGCGCCCAGGCCCAGAGTTCAGGCCCCAGGACTGGACCCAAAAAAATAAAAAAAATAAAATAAAAATAAAAAGAAATGTAGCCTTTGAGACACTTAGTATCCTCCTTTATGTAGTTGTAGATACAGCATGGTTACCTTGTACCTGCATTGGGTGTCATTGACCTAATTACCATGGCCTCCTGAAGATACAGCTGTCATACTGTGTCAGCAGGCACAAGAAACTAAGTTCAAAGATCAGTATCCAAAGAAAAAAGAAATGTTCTTAGTTATTTTCCACCCTCTGCCCCCACTCTCATACAGGGTTTTGCTCCATAGCCAGAATAGCCTCCTGACTTTACGTTCTGAGTGTATGTGCTACCACTTTTTACTTACTTTTTTTTTATAACATAATGAATATGTGCTAATTTTTATAGAGCTCCTTCTGGCTAATACCCTAAAAATCTTCTCTAGGTCAGCTGAAAATTTAAAAAAGAGGGAACATGTAACAGAGTCTAGAGAAAGAGGAGACCGGTTGTTAGGCAGTTTGAACCTGCAGGTAAATGGGTATACATAGTTGGCTGTTTGGGAATGTCTGTGCTCAAGAGTATACTTTACTCCTAGGTCGTATGTATGACTACCATGTACTGGATATGATTGAATTAGGTGTTGAAAAGTTTGTGTCTCTAAAGGATATTAAGGTAAGATACTGAAAATAAAACTAGAACACATTTTGTAATGTTGATCTTGGCCAGTTATGGCACCTGGTAAAGACCACGGATTTAAGTATCTCTTCGTGTGTGTGTGTGTGTGTGTGTGTGTGTGTGTGTGTGTGTGTGTGTGTGTGTGTGTGTGTGTGTGTGTGTGTGTGTGTGTGTGTGTGTGTGTGTGTGGCGCGCGCGCGCGTGTGTGCGTGCATGCCAGGTTGATGCTCTTCCTCAGCTTTTTCTATTTTGGTGCTGGTCCTAGGGCTTTAACTCAGGATTTGAGTGCTGATTTGAGCTTTTTTGTTCAAAGGTTAGGATTTATCACTTGAATCATTGCTCCACTTCTGGCTTTTTGGTAGTCAATTGGAGTTAAGTGTCTCATGGATTTTCCCCAGGCTGGCTTCATATGGGAATCCTCAGATCTCAGCTACCTGAGTAGCTAGGATTACAGGTGTTGTGCCAACAGTGCCTGATTCAAGAAGAGTTTTTCCCCCTCAGCTCTTCAGCTCAATGAGCTGAAGAGTGAGCACTCTACCACTTGAGGCATAGCACCACTTGCAGTTTTCTGGTGGTTAATTGGAGATAAGAGTCACAGACTTTCCTACCCAGCTGGCTTTGAACCAAGATCATAGAATTCAGCCTTCTGAATAGCTAGGATTATAGGCATGAGTCATTGGCTCCCAGCTTGGCAATATTTTTTGGTCGTGGGACCTGAACTCTGGGCCTGGGCACTGTCCCTCAGCTCTTCAGGTCAAGGGTAGTGTCCTACCACTTGAGCCATAGCACCACTTCTAGCTTTTTCTGCTTATGTGGTGTTGAGGAATGGAACCCAGGGCCTCATGCATACAAGGCAAGCACTCTACCACTGAGCCACCTTCCCAGCCCCTTGGCAATATTTTGAAAAATATAATTTCATTGTTACTACTAAGATGCTGTACAGAGGGGTTACCATTTCATAAGTTAGGTAAGGAATATAATTTTTTTGGACAAAGTTATCACTTCTTGGCTTTGCCCCAGTTTCTCCCTCTTGTTCTTGCCCACAAGTTGCATAGTTCATTTACTACATAGTGTATACTGAATACCATGGCTGAATAGTGCTCTACCACTTGAGCCACAGTGCCACTCCCGGATTTTTCTGCTTATGTGGTGTTGAGGAATTGAACCCAGGGCCTCATGCATGCAAGACAAGCACTCTACCACTGAGCCATCTGCCCAGCCCAAGAAAACATTTTTGCATATAAATATTGACTATCTTAAAATCAGCATGTAATAGTTTAGCATTTGATAATTATATATGTACAATGTTTTTATCATTTCATAGAACAGTAAATGTCCTGAGGGAACAAAACCCTTGTTAGTATTTGCTGGCGATGATTTTGATCTAAGAGAAGACTATCGGAGACTAAAAAATCTTCTTATTGGTAAGTATTAACAAAAAACTATGGTATGTATTAATCTTCATTATTTGCAAGGTAACTTAAGTAGTTAAAGACTCCTTTTGTGACTACTTTGCTACTTGAAGTATATAGTTCTCCTCCCCCCCCATACACTTTCTGATCATTTCATTTTCCCCTATTTCTTTTTGTCTTGTCTTTTGAGATAAAGGTCTTGCTATGTATTCCACACTCACCTGGAACTAAGTGGCCTAGATTAGCCTTAAACTTGAAGTCCTAGCCAGGCGCCGGTGGCTTACACCTGTAATCCTAGCTGAGTAGCTAGGAGGCTGAGATCTGAGGATCTCGGTCTAAAGCCAGCCTGGGCAGGAAAGTCCGTGAAACTTATCTCCAATAAACTACCAGAAAACGGAAGTGGCGCTGTAGTTCAAGTGGTAGAGCGCTCGCCTTGAGCTGAAGTGCTGAGGGACAGTGCCCAGGCCCAGAGTTCAAGCCCCACGACTGACAAACAAAAAAAACAAACTTGAAGTCCTTCTGCTCAGCCTCCCAAGTAATTATTTTTTATTACTATTTTTCCCCCACCAATAGCAGGAAACTGCTTACTTATTTCTAAGAATTATATAGTTTCTGCCTATACTGTGGAGCCACAGCCCCACTTCTGGCTTTTTTCTTTTTGCTTATGTGGTACTGAGGAATCGAACCCAGGACCTCATGTATGCAAGGCAAGCTCTCTACCAATGAGCCATCTTCCCAGCCCCCCTTTTTTTTTTTTTTAAGAGGGGCAATGGTTAGTAGAGATGGGACCTGGGGTCTTGTGTATACTAAATAAGCCACCTCTGATCTATTCTGCCAACCCCAATAGATGACTTACTCTTAGTGAATGATTTTTAAATTTACTGTTAAGTGGTTGTACAAAAGATGTTGCAATTTAACATGTCACTTTATGTGTGCAATGCTTATCATCCCTCAAGCAACATTTCTTAAGTGAATTCAGCTTTGTTGTTGTTGGTTTTTTTTTTTTTTTTGATGTGTTTGGGGTTTGCTTTATTTTGAGATAAGATTTTCACTGTATAGGCTATCCTCAAACTCATTCTTCTGTTTTAACCTACACAGTACTAGGATTACAGGCATTTGCCACCACACCTATTCTTCATTGAGATTATTTATGGTTCTATTACTGGAATTACAATTTTCAGAACATCTCATTTTCTTTTTTTTTTTTTTTTTTCTTGTCGGTCGTGGGGCTTGAACTCTGGGCCTGGGCGCTGTCCCTCAGCTCTTCAGCTCAAGGCAAGCACTCTACCACTTGAGCTACAGCACCACTTCCAGTTTTCTGGTGGTTTATTGGAGATAGGAGTCTCACGGTTTCTCCTGCCTGGGCTGGCTTTGAACCGCGATCCTCAGATCTCAGCCTCCTGAGTAGCTAGGATTACAGGTGTGAGCCACCAGCGCCCGGCGTCATTATTAATAGTGGCTACATTTTTTTTTCTTGTGGTGCTAGAGATTGAACCCAGAATCCAACATATTAGGGGAAAGCTCAACCCTGATTGAACCCAGAATCGAACATATTAGGGGAAAGCTCAACCACTGAACTATAACCCCAACCAGTAATGAATGACTACTTCACCATAATTATTTATTTAATCTTTATAAATACTGTAGAACTTGGTGGCATTTTCATTTACAAATGGGAAACACAAATCTGAAAAGTAACTTTTTTTTTTTTGGTAGGTCATGGGGCCTGAATTCTGGGCCTGGACACTGTCCCTCAGCTCTTTTTTTTTTTTTTTGGGTCCAGTCGTGGGGCCTGAACACTGTCCCTCAGCTCTTTTTTTTTTTTTTTTTTTTTTTTGGGGGGGGTCCGGTCGTGGGGCCTGAACCCTGGGCCTGGGTGTTGTCCCTCAGCTCTTCAGCTCAAGGCTAGCGCTCTGCAAGTACCACAGCGCCACTCCCGGCTTTTTTCTTATGTGGTGCTGAGGAATCGAACCCAGGGTCTCATGCCTGCAAAGGCAAGCGCTCTACCACTGAGCCACCTTCCCAGCCCCTCCCTCAGCTCTTCAGCTCAAGGCTAGCACTCTTACCACTTGAGCCACAGCACTACTTCCGACTTTTCTGCTTATGTGGTGCTGAGGAATTGAACCCAGGGCCTTATGCATGCAAGGCAAGCACTCTACCCACTGAGGCACCTTCCCAGCCCCTGAAAAGTAACTTTTTTTCAACCAGTATTTCACCAAGATTTTCAGTTACTTCATTAGTCCAGATTTCTTGTTTTTTGTCCTTATGTCTGCTATCTAATTATTATTAGTGAGGAAGATAATTATACTTTATTAAAATGGAGAGGGGCCAGGTGCTGGTAGCTCATGCCCATAATCTAGCTACTCAGCAGGTTAAGATCTGAGGATCACAATATTAAAACCAGCCTAGGCAAGAAAGCCCAACAACCACTGAAAAGCCAGAAATGAAGCTGTGGCTCAAGTGGGAGAGTGCTATCCTTGAGCATAGAAGTCAGACACAGCATCCAGGCCCTGAGTTCAAGATCTAGGACTGGCAAAAAAAAAAAAAAAAAAAATCCAAAACAGGGCTTTGTTTGCCTCTTTGATTATTGCATTCATTCATTCCTTTATTCACACAGATTCTTGCTAGTTAGTCCAGCAGGCTCTAAAAACTTATACTCCTCTCTTGTCTTAGATTTACATGACAGCAGACTTAGATTTCAGTAGCTTTTGTAAGCCCCAACCTGTGATTATTTGTGCTTCCACTAGATGGCATGAAATGCCATATAATGCAGTGGTGTGGGAGGACATGAAAACAACCAGAACTGGGAGACAGAAACAGGATAGATAAGGAAAGGAATGAGATTGTGGACTACAACAGCAAGTTATGTCGAAAATCAAGTAAGACAACTGCTTCTTGGTTTATGTTATATTTAAGTGAAATACACTAGTGTCATTTAACATTAGGTATATATTGTAAGAAAATGCCTAATGTGTGAGCATCAGGATGTATGTACACGAACTAAATGACTGTCAGGTCACTAAGTGATATAATCTATTGGGGCCACTCTCTTGTGGATCATTATTGACAGAACATGGCTACTCTAAGGAGGGAAAGGAATGAAGGACTTTCTTCCCTGTAGTAAGTTTCTATTTTGCTTTCCTAAATGTTACATAGTTTTGTAGTTTTGTGTAATAATGTGGGGGAACTGCTTTTGTTCCCCTACCTCCTTTTTTTTGGTCATGGGGCTTGAACTCAGGGCCTGAGTGCTGTCCCTGAGCTCTTTTGCTCAAGGCTAGTGCTCTACCCCTTTGAACTACAGCTCCACTTCTGGTTTTCTATTGGTTAATTGGAGTTAAAGGTTTCATGGACTTTCCTGCCTAGGCTGGCTTTGAACCATGATCCTCAGATCTCAACTTCCTGAGTAACTAGGATTACAGGTATGAGACATGCGCTGGACTTTGTTTTCTTATTTGTATTTGTTTTATGGGCTGGTTCTGGGGATTGAACTCAGAGCCAGCCTGGGCATTCTTTTGCTCAAGGCTAGCACTACCATTTGAGACACAGTTCCATTTCCAGCTTTTTTGGTAGTTAGTTTGTTGGGGATAAGAGAGACTTGTGCACTTCCCTGCCCAGCCTTACTTCAAACCTTATCCTCAGATCTCAGCCTCTTGAGGAGCTAGAATTATAGATAGATGTGAGCCACCAGCACCCAGCTTGATGTACACTTTTTAGAAAATTATGAATCAGTGTTTTTGGGATTTACTGATCCCAGCCAAAGTAAATCTTATGGTAATTATAATACTTCTATGCTGAGTATTGACAAAAGGGAGAACTTGAAAACTGAAAAATGAGCATGTCTCAATGAACTAAACACAGAAATAGTCATGAGCGCTGGGTGCTGGTAGCTCATGCCTGTAATCCTACCTACTCAGGAGGCTGAGATCTGAGGATCACAGTTCAAAGCCAGCCTGAGCAGGAAAGTCTGTGAGACTCTTATCTTTAGTTAACCACCAGAAAACCAGAAGTGGCACTGTGGCTCAAGTGGTAGAGTGCTTGCCTGGAACTAAAGAACTCAGGGACAGCACCTAGGCCCAGCGTTCAAGCCCCTATGACTGACAAAAAAAGAAAAAAAAAGAAAAATAGTTATGAGATAGAGTGAACATTATTCAGGGATTTTTTTTGGGGGGGGGGGGGTCAGTCGTGGGACTTGAACTCTGGGCCTGAGCGCTGTCCCTCAGCTCTTCAGCTCAAGGCTAGTTGCTCTACCACTTGAGCCACAATGTCACTTCCTCAGGGATTATTTTTTGTGCTACCGTTTTACCTTTGCCAGGTGAGCCGTAGCTCAGAATAAAGAACGTTGTAGAATGAGGCTCTTTGTACCTGAACTTTGAAAGCATGCTTGGTTTATTTTCTTTATTTTCTTTTTTTAGATTTTTTCAGAGGCCCCACAGTGTCAAATATCCGTCTGGCTGGATTAGAGTATATTTTGCACTTCACTGCACTGAATGGGAAGATTTACTTTCGAAGTTATAAGTAAGTGCATTTCTTAGCATGTTTCTCTTAATCCTTAGGATTCTATCATTTTGTTTGATAGAGCTCAATACTAAAATGGGCTTCTACACAAAGGTTTGTTTGGAATATTTGCAGACTAGTAGTAACTGCAACTCTGTGCTGATCCTTGATCTGTTCATTCCATTGTTCACTTCTGCCTTTGAAATTACTTTTCCAGGGTGACAACATCTAGTAGTGTTGTACTCTGTGTGAGCCTAACTCAGTAATGCCCTCCATAGCTTTTTAAAAAAAAAATTTTGTGTTCATGTATTGAATAAATTCAATAAACTGATAAACTGATAAAATAATCAGATATAAACATAGGATTTTTAGATTTTTTTTAAAGAGTCAATTCTTACTATTTAGGAATAAAATGTTGTTTTTCCAAAATAAGCTGGATTTCAACAAAACAACTTAATAAAATCAGGCACAATGTTTAATAAGTCAAAACTTACATGAATTAGTTAATATAAAATTATAATGTTTTGATACCTGGAGTGGGTAAGAAGTATTCAAGGTAGTTTAAATATTCTTTTTCTTTTTCTTTTTTTTTTTTGCCAGTCATGGACCTGAACTGTGGGCCTGGGCGCTGTCCCAGAGCTCTTCAGCTCAAGGCTAGCGCTCTACCGCTTGAGCCACAGCACCACTTCCGGCTTTTTCTGTTTATGTGGTGCTGAGGAATCGAACCCAGGGCCTCATGCATGCAAGGCAAGCACTCTACCACTGAGCCACCTTCCCAGCCCCTAAATATTCTTTTTAGAGAATTTACCATTATCAGATATATTTAAATTTGATACAACAAACTATATCTTACTCAGAAAATAAAACTTTATTCTTGAATTATATTGCTCAGTTACATTTATTTTTATTGTTAGGTTTTAATTGTATATCTAAAAAGGCAGTCTTAATTCAAAAGATTTCAAATACAGGAATTAAATCAGATCACAGTCATTTGACCCAAAGTAAATGTAAAATACATTTCCAGCATCTTTTGTTGATAATTTGAGTCCCAAGCTTTATGAATAAAGTTTTTTGGGGTTTTTTTTGGTTTTGTTTTTGTCGGTCATGGGGCTTGAACTTTGGGCCTGAGCGTTGTCCCTCAGCTCTTCAACTCAAGGCTAGCACTCTACCACTTGAGCCACATTGCAACTTCCAGTGTTCTGAGTGGTTTATTGGAAATAAGAGTCTCACGGACTTTCCTGCCTGGGCTGGGTTTGAACTGTGATCCTCAGGTCTGAGGATCACAGCTACACAGCCTTCTGAGTAGTTAGGATTATAGTGTAAGCTGTAAGCTCCCAGCTGAATGAGGTTTTTATTTTTATTTTTTTTAAATAGTACTAAAAATTGAACTCAGGGTCTTGTACTTGTTAAGCAAGCTTTATATTGCTTGAGCTATGCTCTATCGTGCCCCTCCCCCCCCCCCCCCCCCCCCACCCCTTCCCTCTATCGAAATAGTGGTCAGTTCTCAAATGGATTCAGAACACCTGGCTTTATATAAGTCAAGACAACCAAAGCAAATCTTACTAAAATTTAAAAGAATAGTGTAAATGGAGTAATAAGCTTAGGCACTGTTGGCTCACGCCTGTAGACCTAACTACTCAGGAGACTGAAATCTGAGGATCGTGGTTCAAAGCCAGCTGGGTCAGGCAAGTCCATCAGACTCTTATCTCCAATTAGCCACCAGAAAACCAGAAGTAGAACTGTGGCTTAAAGTAGTATAGCACTAGACTTGAGGAAAAGAGCTAAGGGTCAGCACCCAGGCCTCGAGTTGAAGCTCCATGACAGACAAAAATAAATAAATAAATATAAGGAGTACTAAGTATCAGTGACTAGATTCATTTACCCTCTCTGTTCCGCCTCGGCCTTCTACTCTATTTTCAGCACAATTAAAATCCAAGTAGGCAGGTATTTTTTCAGTAGAATTTAATGACATGCTATATATAATATGCCTCTTAAGGTAAGCTATACTTTATGCATAATGCTTGTTTTTTTTTTCTTCATAATATAATAGGTGGCTGACCACCTTATGCAACCAAATTAAGCAATAACTTTTAACCAAAGGTAAAAGTAGCTCACACATGTATTCTTAGATACTCAGGAGGCTGAGATTTGAGAATTGGGTAGGAGAGTCCTTGTGAAAAAGCCAAAAGTGGAGCTGTAGTTCAAGTGGCAGAACAACATCTTTGAGTGAAAAAGCTCAGGGACAGCACTTAGGCTCTGAGTTCAAGCACTAGTACCTATACATGCATGTGTGTGCACATGCATACACACAACGTGTGTAATAATAGGAACTATATATGTAGTTTGGTGGTAGAGTTCTTGCCTAGTATGCACAAAATGATGAATTTAATTGCTGGCAACACATACAAAGTAAGATAATAATAAAGTAATGTAATAAACATACAATGATTTCAAGAGATAATTAGGAATTTCTATAATTTTTAGCTAGCTCAGATTTCAAGCCACTTGAACCTTTGATGAGTTTGTCACATTAAGGTTTTTAAATTGACTTCAGTCAAGATTGTTAAATGTCTGTGCTATAGGGAAACATTGATTTTTGAATGGATTAATTCCTAAAGTTAAACATATACACACACACACACATATAAATTTTTTTTTGTCAGGTGTAGGATTTGAACTTAGGGCCTAGACACTGTTTCTGAGTTCTTTTTTTATTCAGGACTTGCACTATACCACTTTGAGCCTCAGCACTGCTTCCAGTTTTCTGATGGTTAATTGGAGATGAGTCTCATGAACTTTCTTGCCTAGGCTCACTTTGAACTACTGTCCTCAGATCTCAGCGTCCTAAGAAGCTAGGATTTCAGGTGTAGCTCATTACCTTGGTACAAAAGATAGAGTTCAAGGCACGGTCCATGCTAAGCTAAGCATGCCCTCTACTATTGAATTACATTCCCAGATAGCCAATATTATTTTATTTTATTTTTTGTCAGTTGTGGGGCTTGAACTCTGGGCCTGAGCGCTGTCCCTCAGCTCTACAGCTCAAGGCTAGCGCTCTACCACTTGACTTACAGCGCCACTTCTGGTTTTCTGGTGGTTTATTGGAGATAAGAGTTTCACGGACTTTACTGCCCAGGCTGGCTTTGAACCGGCGATCCTCAGATCTCAGCCTCCTGAGTAGCTAGGATTACAGGCGTGAGCCACTGGCTCCTGGCCAATATTATTTTCATACCTATGTAAATCTGTGAAATGAAGTCAAATAAAAAATTCCAACGTGTGTATGTGTGGACGTGCATGAGTGGTCCTTGGACTTGAAATCAGGGCTTTGGCACTGTCCCTGAGTTTTTGTGCTAAAGGCTAGTGTGCTACCACTTTGAAACAGCTTTAATATCCAGCTTTTTGGTAGTTAATTGGAGATAAGAGTCTCACAGACTTTCCTGCCTGCGCTGGCTTGGAAGCACGACCCTCAGATCTCAGCCTTCTGATTAATTAGGATTACTGGCATATGAACCACTGGTGCCCGGCAGGGGGAGAACTTTTTAAAGACAAGGCATCATTTCTGTTTTCCTGTTCCATAAAGGCTGCTATTGAAGAAGTCTGGCTGCAGAACACCACGGATTGAGTTGGAAGAGATGGGGCCGTTGTTGGATTTGGTTCTGAGAAGGACCCACCTGGCCTCAGACGATCTTTATAAACTGTCTATGAAAATTCCAAAAGCTCTCAAGGTATGTGATCTGCAGTGAGTGCTCTCCTTCATTTTGTGTGCTTCATACTTCTTCCTAGAAAAGGTTTGAAGCATGTTCTATTAAATGTCATATGTGACAAGATCAATAACAAATAAATTAGGCACAGCCAGCAATTGGGAAGTTTTACAGTAAATTTGAGTTGAGTTTTTTGGTAGCCAGGACTGCCATTTCAGCAAAAATAAGAATGATTTTGTGCATTGTGAAGACAAGGTTTAGAGCTTCTAGGTGTATAAACCATATGTACATAAAATGTTTGACTTTTCAGTGGTGTTATAAAACAGCTAGCAATGCTAATTATGGAATGCTAGTAGAAAGTGGAATGATAGCTGAACAGAGCACATTTTGTGTTGCATAGCAGCAGTTAGTGTAGTGCTCACAGTGCAGTCTCACATTTACCTAGAGATTGTTGGTAGTACAGAATATTAGGCCTACCAGATCTAGTTGAGAACCCCTCAGGTGACTTGAATGTGTACATAGGTTTGAGAAGAAAGTCAGGTGGGTCTGTTCTCTGTCACTGAGGTTTCCTCACAAATTGGAATTGTTATTATGATAGTTGATTTTTTTTTTATCAGTTTGTGATAGTAGAAAGCCATTAAAAAATTTATATATATTCACAGGCATACATTTTCCCCCTTGTTTTATAGCCAAAGAAGAGGAAAAATATCTCTCAAGATACTTTTGGTACAACTTATGGAAGGATACACATGCAGAAACAAGACCTAGGCAAACTACAAACCAGGAAAATGAAGGGATTGAAGAAGCGACCTGCAGAAAAGATAACAGAAGACAAGGAGATAAACCCCAAGAAAATTAAAAAAAGTTAATAGAACTTAGCCAAAAGTCCAGTTTTATTGTGGTGTATTTACTTAAGAAATTTGTCAAGCTCAGACCATTCAGTTTCTTAAATGATTTTATTGTATATTTTTATAACATAAGTTGCTATGTATATTTGAGCTACTTTTATAATTTCTTTTAAAAATTACGTAGTTGTACAAGAGATTACAGTTCTATAAGTCAGTTATGAGTACAGTGCATCTTGATCATTCATATTTTATGACTGGTAATATACTGATACTTTGCTTAAAGTAAGCCCTTTCTTTGTGCTGTTAGATTTGGTTATGCTGGTTTTTATCTGATGTGTTATTCTCATTCTCCAAAAACCTCTTTTCTTAGGGTGGGTGAATGAATGAGCGAGGTGGAACTGAGGCAGAAGTATCACAAGTTTCAGGCTAGCTTAAGCTGGGTCATGACATCTGCCAAAACAAAAAGACAGTAAGTGGACTTTGTTTTGCGGTTTGTGATAACAGCCTTGTATTTGAACTCAGCCTGGGTACTATCCCTGGGACTTTTTGTGTTCAAGGCTAGCCTCTACTACTTAAGTCATGTCTCTACTGCCATCTTTTTTTTTTTTTTTTTGTCGGTCGTGGGGCTTGAACTCTGGGCCTGGGCGCTGTCCCTCAGCTCTTCAGCTCAAGGCAAGCACTCTACCACTTGAGCTACAGCGCCACTTCCGGTTTTCTGGTGGTTTATTGGAGATAGGAGTCTCACGGTCTCCTGCCCGGGCTGGCTTTGAACCGCGATCCTCAGATCTCAGCCTCCTGAGTAGCTAGGATTACAGGTGTGAGCCACCAGCGCCCGGCCATCTTTTGGTTTTTAGTTGAAGATAAGAGTGTCATGAAAGGAGCTGGGAAGGTGGCTCAGTGGTAGAGCACTTGTCTTGCATGCTTGAGGCCCTGGGTTTGATTCCCCAGCACCACATAAGCAAAAAGAAAAAAAGCCGGAAGTGGCGTTGTGGCTCAAGTGGTAGAGCGCTAGCCTTGAGCTGAGGGACAGTGCCCAGGCCCAGAGTTCAGGCCCCACAACCGGACACTCCCCCCCCCCCCCCCCAAAAAAAAAAAAAAGTGCCATGAAAGTTTGTGACAAAGCCTGACTGTTAGCTCAGCTAACAGTCCTCAGATCTCAGCTTCTTTTTTTTTTGGTCCGGTTGTGGGGCCTGAACTCTGGGCCTGGGTGCTGTCCCTCAGCTCTTCAGCTCAAGGCTAGCACTCTACCGCTTGAGCCACAGCGCCACTTCCGGTTTTTTTCTTTTTTGCATATATGGTGCTGAGGAATCAAACCCAGGGCCTCATGCATGCAAGGTAAGCACTCTACCACTGAACCACCTTCCCAGCCCAGATCTCAGCTTCTTGAGTAGGTAGGATTATAGGCATGAGCCATTGGTACCTGGCTATGCTGACATAGCCATATTGCATATATCCTGATGGTTCTATAAGATTTTATCACTTAATGAAGGCTTTTCTTGTCTTTTTTTTTTTTTTTTTTGGTCAGTCCCTGGGGCCTGAACTCTGGGCCTGGACACTGTCCCTCAGCTCTTCAGCTCAAGGCTAGTGCTCTACCACCTGAGCCACAGCACCACTTCTGGCTTTTTCTGCTTATATGGTGCTGAGGAATTGAACCCAGGGCCTCATGCATGCAAGGCAAGCACTCTACCGTTGAGCCACCTTCCCAGCCCATGAAGACTTTTCTTTAAAGGACAGTTTTTGCTATGTAACTCTTGCTTGCTAAGTACCACCAGTTCTCCTGCCTTAGCTGTCCAAGACCCATGTGCCACCACTCCCAGAATTCATAGCACAATTTTTGGGGCTGGAGGTGTAGTGTAGCTAGGTGGCACAAGTAGATTTTCTATATAAGCAAAATATGATAAAGTCCTAGTAAGTGAGCACATTTGCATAGCCAGTTCCACTCAGATTAAGAAACAGTAATTGTCTTGACTCCTGGGTCAGTGGGCCATAGCAAACATGTATTCTAGTGATAGAAGGGAAACTGACATTTAATGTGACTCAAGTGCTAAGAATGCTTGCCTGCAGTTATACGGCCCTGACTTCAAACTCAGTATTTCCAATAAATATATAAATAAAGCATAGATTACTTGGGATTCTTTTTTTTTTTTTTTTTTTGGTGGTAGCATTGGTGTTAGAGTCTGAACTTGGTGCCTTGTGCTTGCTACACAGGTGCTCTGTAGCTGAAACCATGCCTCCAGCCCTTCTTTACACTGATAATTTTCATTTTTGCTCAGATTTATAGGTGGGACACAGTGCACCTGTTTTACACTTTACAGATGCCATCACACCCAGCTTCTTTCTACCAGGCATGCTTTCCAAGAAATAAAGGAGATTGCTTCCTATCCCCGCTGTGTGCCTTCTTACCTTCTGTAGTCCTTAAAGTCTGTTAGTGTAGAGGCCACTCTAGGTGGAGGGATCACTAACAACTTAAGTAGTAGCAGCCACCCGCTGGCCCTTTGAGGTACTGGTCTTACCATGTTTCAAGAAACTGGGTATCTTAGTCATGCATTCCAGGAGATTTTTTTTTTTTTTTTTTGGTCTGTCGTGGGGCCTGAACTCAGGGCCTAAGCACTGTCCCTCAGCTCTTCAGCTCAAGGCGAGCACTCTACCACTTGAGCCACAGTGCCACTTCCGGCTTTTTCTGCTTATGTGGTGCTGAGGAATCAAACCCAGGGCCTCATGCATGTAAGACAAGTCCTCTATCACTGAGCCACCTTCCCAGCCCTGCATTCCAGATTTTTTATTTTTATTACCATTATTTTTTGGTTAGTCATGGGGCTTGAACTCAGGGCCTGGGTGCTATCTCTGAACTCTTTTGGCTCAAGGCTAGCATTCTACCTTGAGCTATAGGCACCACTTCTGGTTTTCTGGTGGTTAATTGGAGATAAAAAGTCTCACAGACTTTTTCTGCCCCATCTGGCTTTGAACCATGATCTTCAGATCTCAGCCTCCTGAATAGCTAGGATTACAGGTTTGAGCCACTTCAGCCTGGCTGCCACTAGTTTTATAGGGGATAATTGGGACACAAACATACAATATATTCTAATCCATGTCTTCATACCTTCTATCACTCCTTTAATACTCCCCTCACCAATTCCCTGGTATTTAAAAAAACAGGTATTAAAATACTATTATTATTAAGATGTACAGAGGAGTTACTATTACATAAGTGGTAGTGAGTACATTTTTTTTTTTTTTTTTTGACAATGTCACCTTCCTTTCCTCCAGTTTCCCCTCTTCCAGCCTTGCCCACAATTTACAAAGGTCATTTTCCACATAAGGTCTATTGAATAGCATTTTGGATTTGTTCACCCTTCCTCCATTTCTGTTTTTTTTTTTTTTTTGGGTCCGGTCGTGGGGCCTGGGCGCTGTCCCTCAGCTCTTCAGCTCAAAGCTAGCTAGTGCTCTACCACTTGAGCCACAGCACCACTTCTGGCTTTTTCTGCTTATGTGGTGCTGAGGAATTGAACCCAGGGCCTCATGCATGCAAGGCAAGCGCTCTACCACTGAGCCACCTTCCCAGCCCCACCCTTTCTCCATTTCTGTGTCCCCGCTTTACCCCTGTACAAGAAGAAACCCCAAAGCAAAAACAAGCACCACCACTACCTTTCTGTTTCCTGGAGTTTGTTTCAATAAAAAAGTATTTTAAATGTTCAGAGAACGTGTGCTCTTGTCTTCCTCACCATAGGATATCCCCCTTTAGTCTGCCTTTTTTGTGTGTGAATGCCTAGAGTCCTGTATAAGGAATGTGCAGTTACAGTTTAGATCTAGCTTCCACATATTAGAGAAAATATGTGCCATTGGTCTCTACTAGCTTGGCTTACCCCACTTAGCATGATTTGCTCTAGGTCCAACCATTTCTCTGCAAATGACATAATCTTATTCCTTTTTAAAAAATGAGTAAAATTCCATTGTACATATGTATATATATATATATATATCACATTTTATTGATGTACTCTTTTATTATAGGGCATCTGGGCTGCTTCCGTAACTTGGCTATTGTGAATAGTGCAGCAATGAACATGGATGTGCAAGTGTCTTTATTTACCATGTCCTGACTTGTAATGATCAGGGTAGATGCCCATGTATGGTATGACTGGGTCATAGGCAAGTTCTAGGGGTTTTGTTTGTTTTTCTGTTGGTCGTGGAGCTTGAACTGTGGTCCTGAGCGCTGTCCCTCAGCTCTTCAGCTCAAGGCTAGCAATCTACCACTTGAGCTACAGCGCCACTTCCGGCTTTCTGGTGGTTTATTGGAGATAAGAGTTTCACAGACTTTGAACTGTTTCGCTGGCTTTGAACTGTGATCCTCAGATCTCAGCCTCCTGAGTAGCTAGGATTACAGGCATGAGCCACCTGCGCCCAGCAAGTTCTATGGTTTTTTCCAAATGTCCTTTCCTAGTGGTTGTACTAGTTTATATTACCACCAACAGTGCAGTTGGGTCCCTTTCCACCTACATCCCCGTCAGCATTTGATGTTCAAATTCTTGATGGTGGCCAATGTAATTGGAGTAAGATGGAATCTCAGACATGTTTTGATTTACATTTTCTTTGTGGCCAGGGATGTATATTTCCTTCTAAGCTCCTCTTCATGTATTGATTTGTTTGGGAAGAGGTTAGTGTCTTGAGTTCCTTCTCTGTTTTGGGGTATTGCTGGTGACAATTTTCTCCCAGTCTGTTGACTGTTTTTCTAGTTTAGTAACTATGTCCTTTGCTGTATGGAGTATTTTTTTTTTCCTGTTGGTTGTGGGTCTTGAACGCTGGCCCTGGGCACTGTCCCTCAGCTCTTCAGCTCAAGCGCTTTACCACTTGAGCCACAGTGCACTTCCAGTTTTCTGGTGGTTTATAGGAGATAAGAGTCTCATGGATTTTCCTTCCCCAGGCTGGCTTTGAAAGGGGGTCCTCAGATCTCAGCCTCGTAAGTAGCTAGATTACAGGCGTGAGCTACCATGTGAGCCACTGGGTGCCGGCTATACAAAAATTTTTTATTTTGATCTAATCCCACGTGTTGTCTATTTCCTGTGCCCTTAGGACTCTTCCTATGCCTATAACTTCTAATGTTTCTCCTACTCCATCTTGTAATTGTAGTTTCTAGTCTGACATTGCGATCTTTGATCCATTTTGAGTTGATATTGGTGCATGGTGACAAACAGGGATCCAATTTTAGTTTTCTGCATATGTACGATTTCCCAACACCAGCTATTGAAGAGATTATCTTTTTCCCCCACCATATATTTTTGACTCCCTTGTCAAGTAAGTGTATGGTTTTATTTCTGGGTCTTCTAGACTGCTCCCTTAATCTTGGGGCCTGTTTTTGTGCCTGTACCAAGCTGTTTTTTTGGTATAGCTCTGTAGTAGAGCTTAAAGTCTGGGATTGTGATACAATTAGAATTGTCTGGTTTTTGTTTTTGCCTAGAATTGCTTTGGCTATTTGAAGTCTTTGATGTCCCAGATGAATTGGGATTTTTTTTGGCGGGGGAGGGGGGGGGGGATTGAGGTGGAACAGAAGGCAGTTTGTCTAACTAGGAAATTTCAAGAAAACTAGGAGAAAAGGGCCATAGCAAGAGATAGGGCAGGGGTGGGCAGGAGGGGTCTTTTTTTTGGGGGGGGGGGTCTGGTCGTGGGGCCTGAACTCTGGGCCTGGGCGCTGTCCCTCAGCTCAAGGCTAGCGGTCTACCACTTGAGCCACAGCGCCACTTCCGGCTTTTTTCTTTTTGCTTATGTGGTGCTGAGGAATCGAACCCAGGGCCTTGAGCATGCAAGGCAACCGCTCTACCACTGAGCCACCTTCCCAACCCCAGGAGAGGTGGGGGGGGGTCTTATAGTCCTTGTTTCACTGTCCTCAGCCCATCTGCATCAGAGGCACTGGGGAGTACTAAGGCAGTGACGTCCAGAGGCATGGAGAACCCTGATCCCCGTGCCCCCCACTGCCCAGACTCCCGATAGTTCCTCACTGCTGCCCCCAGCAGGCCAGCACCCTGAATGTGGGTGCTGCTGGCATGGCTGGAGGGGAGGAGACAGCATAGCAGGGCGGGGCCATGCTGTGACTGTGGATGACGCGTGTTCTCCTGACCTGTAGAGTTGCAGTCTGTCATCACCAGCCTTGTTTTTAGTGTGTATATATGTCACCCCTGTGATGCATACATACACAGGTATTAAATATATCACTCTATATAATATTATATAGGTGTGTGATATTCAAGGAATCTAAGGAGGGCTAGAGATAAGGAATTTGGTCAGAAAATGCAGCCATCCTTGTGTTCTTAGGAGGGTTGATGGGGCTCATCTGGCTCTTTGTGAGGAGACAGGGTAGGACCGCAGCTGTGTTTTGGAGGTGATGTGGGCAGGAGGGGTGGTAGGGGCTGCCACACTATCCCCGGATGTCTACCAAGGAGAGAGCCCCAGAGTGCCCCCCAACACATGGGAGAGATTGTACTCCTGCCAAAGAAAAGGATGAGAATCCTGAGTTGTCATCTTGAGCCTGTTATCTGCCCAGTGGCCTTGGGATTCAGGGCTCCCTGAGGAAGCCAGAGTTGGATCCCGCTGGGGAGAGGTGACAGTGTGAAGCAGAAAGGGGGATGGGAGGAGGCAAGAAAATAATCTTAATGGTGATGGTAACTATTTCAGATGTGGCCCTTCTAGGCTCCTGGCTTCCTTAGATCAGGGACCTGTCACCCACCCTTAGCAGGAGGGACAAGGTCGCATGGTGGATATGGGGCTGGGGGGGCGGGGCATGAGGGGGATGCTGCATTTCTCAGCTAGGCAGTAATCAATTTAATGGTCTTTTTAAAATGTCTGTGTATTAAAAATTTAAGAATACCACCCTTTGATATTAAATTTCACAAGGTCTAGTATCTTGATAATAATGGAGATGTTTTAATAACAATTTTTGTCCTTAACGTAAAATGAAAGAAACTGGGGAAGGCTGGCAGTGTCTCAGAGCAGGTGAGTTTGCATGAGACAGTAAGCAAGACAGACAACAACCTGTATTTCTGGAGTCTGTGTTCTCTGTGCATGATGCCTTCTTTTTTTTGTGGGGCTTGAACTCTGGGCCTGGGTGCTGTTCCTGAGCTCTTCAACTCAAGGCTAGCACTCTACCACTTGAGCCACAGTGCCACTTCTGGCCTTTCTGTTTATGTGGTGCTGAGGAATCGAACCCAGGGCCTCATGCCCACAAAGCAAGCATTCTACCGTTGAGCCACCTTCCCAGCCCCACTGCCTTCATTTATAAACGAGACATTTCTGCCTCTTGCATTTCTGTAAGTCCCATCCTGTGGGGGGGAGGTCATCTCAGGGTCTCTCATAGCAGTTGTGCCAGGCAGGCTTCTTGCTTCCTGGCACTTTGACACAGGGAGGGTTCAGTTACCTCTAGAAGGGCCACCATTTGTTGTCTGAAAAGAAGTAGCTTGGGCTGGAGAGATGGCTCAGTGGTAGAGCACTTGCCTTGCATGCATGAGGCCCTGGGTTTGATTCCTCACTACCACATACACAGAAAAAGCTGGAAGTAAAAGAAGGGATAGTGCCCAGGCCCTGATTTCAAGTCCTGGGAGTGGCAAAAAAAGAAAGCAGGAAAGGAAGGAAGGAAGGAAAGAAGGAAGGAAGGAAAGAAGGAAGAAAAGAAGGAAGGAAGGAAGGAAAGAAAAGAAAAAAGTGGCTTTACTTAAAAGAACTAGGAAACTTTAATTTTGCAATCTGGAGCATGCTCCAAGGCACGCTGTCATGTATTTCATTCGCTACCAATAGAGGCAGAAGCAAAGTATCTCTAGAAAAACATCTAATAGTCTAGAGTCTATAACTAAGATCTGGGTGGCTGGCAGACAAGGGAGAGAAAAGCAAGATCTTGTGTTGCTTAAACTAGCCTCAAGTCCTCTCTAGGCACAAGTGATCCTCTTGCTTTAGACTTCTGAATAGCTAGGACTTTTGGCATGTACCATTAAACCCAGCTGAAATATTTTTCACATGTGTTCTTTGGTATTTGTGTGTGTATGTATGTGCGCATGTGCATGTGTACGTGTGTGCATGTGTGCTGGTATTGGGGTTTGAATTCAAGGCCTGGGTTCTGTCCCTGAGCTATTTTGCTCAAGGCTAGCACTCTATCACTTGAGCCACAGCTCAACTTCTGGCTTTTTTCTAGTTAATTGGACATAAGAACCTCACAGACTCCTGCTTAGTCTGGCTTTGAATCTTGATCCTCAGATCTCAGGGTCCTGAGTAGCTAGCATTACAGGTGTAACACACTAGCGCCCAGTTTGCCAACAGGTATTTTATGTGGATGTACTTACTCTTTAAGACTTTATTCATCTACCCTGCTCCCATCTCTTGGATCATCTTTTTTAAGTTCTCTGGTTGATAGCTCCTAATTTCATACACATTTCTAGTATCTGGTGGTATCTTCTTTGATTCTCTACCTGTAGATGTCTCCTCTCCAGTACTCAAGTCCCTAGTTTCTCTCCAGCTGTTGCTCTACAGTCTCTGACAACTCAGAGGTGGAGCACTTGGCTAGCATGTACAAGTCTCTGGGTTCCATCCCCAGCATTAAGATGCAAAACAAAAAGCTGCCTTAACATAAAGTCTGCCTGTTGGGTGTGTGCTGGAGAACACCCAGGTGCATCAAACAGCTTGAGGAGAACACAGGGCTCTCCTGCCAAGCCCACAGCTCTCCTGGCTCTCCCCGTCTCTGCGAATAGCATTGCCACCCACCCAGCCATCCATCCAAGCCCAACGGGATCTTACAGTTCATCTTGTCTGCCTCCCCTCCCTCAGCACTCCTTTTCCCGTCTCTGCTCTCATGGTTATTTTTTTTTTTTTTTTTTGGTTGGTCGTGGGGCTTGAACTCTGGGCCTAGGCGCTGTCCCTCAGCTCTTCAGCTCAAGGCGAGCACTCTACCACTTGAGCCACAGCACCACTTCTGGTTTTCTGGTGGTTTATTGGAGATAGGAGTCTCCCGATCTTTCCTGCCCACGCTGGCTTTGAACTAAGATCCTCAGATCTCAGCCTTCTGAGTTATCCAACATTCTTGTATAGGTTGGATCCCCTACTAAGGAATTTACTAGCTTTGATGCTGTTCCTCCTCCCCATCATTCCCTTTGCTGCTGCTGCTGCTGCTGCTCCTCCTCCTCCTCCCTCTTCCCTTACTCTTTCATTCTCTCTTTCCCCTCCAGTTGTGGGGCTTGAACTCTGGGCCTGGGTGCTATCCCTGCGCTCTTCAGCTCAAGGCAAACGTTCTACCACTTGAGCCGCAGTACCACTTCCAGTTTTCTGGAGGTTAATATCCCACCAGGCTGGTTTTGAACCGTGATCCTCAGATCTCAGCCTCCTGAATAGCTAGGATTATAGGCGTGAGCCACCAGCACCCAGCTTCTTTCTCTTCTTTGGATAGGGTCTCACTCAGTACCCAGGCTGGCTTTGAACTCTAGATTCTACTTCAGTCTCCCAAGTGCAGAGATTACAGATGTGAACTGCCATATTCAACAGTCTTCAACTTAGTGTTTCCTGAATAAAATATGTTCTTTAGAACTCTGTGCTTTTGCATATGCTGTTTTTCATACTTACCAATCTCTTGCTTAACTTTCTGGGGTTACCTGTATCATCACTTCCTCCCAGAACAGGCCTTAATACTTACCACTGCTCAAAAGCAGGGATTCTCTTTCTCTTCTTCATATTCCTAGAGGTTTCCTTGTACAATAGGTAGATGCTTAATACATTGAACAAAAGACAGGCATTTGTTTTGTATTCTTCAAAAATTATCGCCTGAGTGCAGACGAGAGGTACTTCCTCCTCCTTCTACATTTACTGATTCTTTTGGCCTTTGTCTCAGTTGGCAGACCTGGGCTATGTGAATGATGGTATGCATGATAAAATACCCAAGCTTTGATTTGATTCTGTTCTTAATTTTCATCCTTGTCTTTGAAAGATTTAATAAATAACCTTGAATTCTCTCTTGGCATTAGGTTGCAGTTGGAGCCAGAGGATCACATTACAACTAAGAATTATCTGAATAAACAGGGGTGGAGGACTTCCAAATTGCCCAGAAAGGAAAATGCCTTTCAGGCTCTTGAAAGAGAATGCTTGCCCTGATCCTCTGCCTTTGATCTTCAGAGCTCCATTAGAGCAAGGTATTAGCTTAACCAGCTTTTGTATCTGTGCCAGAAATGTAGGCCAAAGGGTCATACAGAGAATGAAGAATAACAACAAGAAGGATGAATTGTTGTCAGCCAGACAAATGTTAGGAGACAGGTCCTTCTGCAGAAATAGGAAGTGGAAGTGGCCTCCGGTGTGATCTAGAGACAGCAAGTACCTGCTTACACATACCTGAGTATGGTTAACCAGCTTCCCCAGATCCAGCCCCTGCTGAGCAGAGGAGCCCCCAGCCTCTGTCTTCCTGGAAGGGAACAACACCTTTGGAGGATTTTCACTATCTGGGCAGAACAAAGACAGGGAAAGAAGAAAGCTGCCACTCAAACAACAGCTGTTCCAAAGGGTTGAGATGCTCAGTTTTAACTTTTTGTCTTCTTTCTCTTTCCAGCTTCATGTAATACATACTCTATCATTGAGCTCTAGCCTCAGCCCTGAACACTCAGTTTTAAACACTTCACTTTTCCCTTACACACAGACATACACAGACACACACCGCACACAGACACAGACACACATACACACACACACACACACAAAGACACATAGACACAGACATACACTACATGCAGACAGACACCGACACATCTATACACACTCCTTTTGGAGTCTCCTTCCAATTGTTTCTTTGTCTGTGGTAGACTTAGGTAGAAAGATATAATTGCCATGATTATAGAGATGTGGTTTGATTTAATAGGCATGAGGAGATGTGGTTTGATTTAATACAACTGGGATGGCAGAAGCAAAAATGAGAGCATGCTTTTTGAGGTGAAGCCAGCATGGCAGCAGCCAAACTGCACTGACACCCAGCAACACAGCCTCTAGCCCAGTGAAGGCTAACTCCTCATCCACTCCCCAGCTTCCAAAGCCTTCGTCCCTAACCTTCTCCACTTCCCTACCACAAATCCACTCTGCAGTGTGGTGGCTCCCTCCCCTAGTCCTTCTTAGAAGACATCAAGCTATGAAACTTCTCTGTCCAAATTCTCTTCTTAGGGATGATGACAGTGTCCTTCACAGAACCAGGAAATAAAAAGGCAGGTGGCCTCTGGTTCAGTGGCTGGGAAAGCTTGTGAAGGGCAGGAGTCATCTTTACTGCTGCTTCTTCCTTTTCCTCCTTCTCTTCTTCTCAAGTGACAGGTGGCCTCTGGTTCAGTGGCTGTGAAGCACTGGAGTAA